GCATATCTGCATTTTCCACGAGTCATTTGCGGTGCCCAAGGCGCACAGTGTTTCCGGTAGGCATTCCGCCGCCGGGGGGGTTTCACCATTGAGGCACCAGATCTCCAATTGCGAACTGAAGCTCTGACCTTCTGTGGTCTTCCAGAAATGACGGTTGCCATAAATTTTTGGTGGCATTCCGCTTTCGGAAAGTCCATCGGAACCCACATGGATGCATACTACGTGAGGCAGGCGTTCCAAAGCTTGGTGAGATCGCAAACGGACAAAGTGGTTGCAAGCATCAAGCCCGTGGACCTGGAAGCTGCTCAGGAAGCCGAGGACCCGCACCCTGCGGCCCAGTCCGGCCTCGCTCACACTCGCCGCATGGCAGAATCCGACCAAGGCACTTGCTCAGCCGCAAGCAAGTCAAAACTTGACGATGATGGTGCAGATGACAGGAACAGGTGCGCAAGTCCACGTGGCGGCGCAAGGGAAGAGGAAGCCAGGTGTACTGCTGGCGAGACGCTTTCGATCGAAGTGCCAGAATGTGCTGAACATGAGAAATCGGGACCGGGACTCTCGGCCGGCACATCTGACAACGGAAACGGCCCAGCCGGTCCTCCCACCGAAACAAGAGCCAGAAAGAAGGCTCGCAAACGTGGGCGGGAAGAAATTTCTCAGGATTCTTCCGTCAGCCGGGGCTTATCTGCAAGCCCCACCGCGGCGTGTCTGCCTGGCCGCGAACGGCGAGCCCTGTCGCTCTTTGTGGATCACATTGGCGCCATGGTGCTGCCAGAACATGGAGACGTCTGTGGTGGCAGCGATGCTGTCTGCAGCGAGGAGTGCACCGCGGGGGACCATCAGGAGCCGTCAACTTCAGTGCACGGGGGCACGCAGTCCGAGCAGGGAACCTCGATGTCTGGGAGCCCCAGCGGGCCAGCGTCAGCTTCTCAGACTGACTCTGAAATGCATGCACGTGCTGATGCCATGGGACTGGATGGGCTGCCTGCCCGCCTGCTGGCCAGCCTCGGCAGCACTGGAATGCTGCGTGTCCTTTACGCGATGGCGACTGACTACCCCAAGCTGCTGGATTTGTTCCTTGTGGAGCTGATGTCGCCAGCGTTTGCGTACCTTCTCACGAAGCAGCTGGAGAGTGTCCATGGGAGCGGGGGCGTGACAGGAGACGAACACTGCAGCGAACAACAGGGAGGGGAGCAGGGAGTTGGCGTGCCAAGTTTAGAGGAATTCTATGCCAGGTTTTATGGGGCCGTCGCAGATCGAGAACAGGTGCTGAAACGATTGGTGTATGGAAGAGAGAGTCTTGCCAGGTCAGTTGTGGACGAACTTGCCTCTGGCACTTTGGGTGTCAATGTGGTCGCGGGCAGTGGGGAATGAAGGGCGTACTGGCGATGGGGAGGAATACTGGCAGTGGCTTGATGCGAGCAGCATGCTTGAGGTTGAACAATGCTGGTTCGCGCAGGATGCGATGCCCATTAATTGGGGGAACGTAATTGACGGCAGCAGCCTTTGCATGCACTGGCAGGTGACAGTCAGGCTGGCAACATAGCTTGGAAACGCTGGGATTCTCGACCGTCCAGTTCTCCAGAAACTTTCCGTTTCCCTCTTGAAAAACGAAATACGCGGAGTGTTGGCTGAAATCCTCCAATTCCTTGCTGTGCTATGGGCGCTCCACCGATCCTGCCGCCCAATCAATATTCTGCGGGCTGCAACGAGGTTCGCCACTGGCCTCCACTCGTTGGAGCTCAACGACATGCACTGCGCATCGCTTGCACGTAGTGCCAGCTCCACCACAGACCATGCAAAGCTCTATGTGATCCACACATGCACACAACCACCATCCCCGTGTTGTCGCGCCTGCAGGAATCCATGTCCTACCACCTCGACGAGCATCAGATGCACTCCATGTTCAGCAGTTCTCCTGTTGATTTACGTGCATGGCCCCAGCACTCCAGCCCCTTTTAGCTACAATTGTCCTCTCTGGGAACGCCAGGGCCACCATGGCATAGCACCAAAGACAAGACGTGGCTGGACACTACGCCCAGCACCTTCAGCTGCAGGCTGCGCCTCCTACGAAGGGATTGCAGCATTCATCGCCGAGTACACCTCAAGTCCGATCTGAGCAGCAGCGATCTCATAGTCGTCCCCCTTTCCCTGCAAAGCGCCCAACTTTGCTGTGTACTCCGCAAGGCCAGCCTTCACGGCCTCTGGGTCAAGGTCCTCAACCTGAACTGCCTCAACCGCACACACATCCGCTGTGGAGTCGGCATGGACAAAGGCAAAGCCGCTGCTGACGAAGTACTTCTTCACATCCTTGTCCATTTCCTTGTGGACCGCCACGATGCCAGGCCGAAGCTGCGCAACTGTGGGCACGTGCCCTGGCATGACTCCAAAATCTCCGGTAACGGCAGGGATCAGTGCCAAATCTACCTGCAAGAAGTCAGGACCTCTTGTGAGTCAGCCACTTGCATCGACAGTACAAAATCCACAGAATACACAGAATAAGCAACAGCAGGCACTGCCAGCAATATTTCAAGCCACAACCTTGGCTGGTTCGAGCAGACGCTGGATAGATGAACCCCATCAAGGGCCCCCGGTCACACCGTGGTCCATCAGCCCCAGAATAGCAAGCATGGACGGCTCTTGAGGAACAGGTCTTTTGGTGGAATCTGGCTGCTACGACCTGAGCTTGCCAGTGTGGAAAGGCCGCCCTCCCGCTGCCAGGCAGCGAAGGCAGCAACAAGACCATGCAAGCACTCCACACTCAAGGAAAGGAACGGACAGGGCCTACTCTTTGAGGATTGGATGTCCACTCGGATGCAGAGCCCCAAGCCAGCAATAGCGTCTAAAGCAGTGTGGGTGGCCCCGAGCTGTCAGCGTATCGATTTCCTGCAGTACGCTGAAGGCAGCTCGAGGCAACCCAGTGAGTGTGCACTGTGCAACAGGGCAGCACCCAGGAGTCCCACCGCGAGGCCAACTACCACTACGAACAGCAAATTCCAACGACCCCTGTATCCGTCCCGCACGCCTCTCCCCGCCGCCAGGCCCGCGATCCAAGGCACCCGATCGACGCCCACAGCCCCCCGTCTCCGCAACCGCATATCATGCTCTTCGGCTGCCCGCATCGCCGATCCAGCCGCCCAGCCGCCCCGTCTTCCTCCGATCGGATGACGCACAGCCACGTCCCTCCGCGATCACTCCCACCCACCCCGCCAGCCCCCCATCCCCGATCAAGCCGTCCCCCCGCCCCCCGCTCTTGGGCCTCGCGCATGATATGCCACAAAGCGGACAAGACTCTCGCAACAAACTCGCGGGGCGGATGCGCCAATGCACGGCGCGCCAAACCCCTCATCTCCAGGCAGGTATCCGTCCAGTATCAAAAACTCCAGAACCCCCGCACCTCCTCCCCCTTGCAGAGCACGCCGTTGGGCATGTAGAAGTTGAGCTTCAGCTTGGTGGGGACGCCGGCCGCCGGGGCCTCCGCCTCCTTCTCCCCCTTCTCCTTCTGCCAGTCTATGGAGAAGTGCGGGGGGTTCATGGTGGAGGGCGCCAGCTTCACGAAGGACTCCAGGAAGGCATCCTTGTCCACCTTTTTTGCGGCCTCGTCCTCGCGCGCCGGCCCGGACGCCGTGAAGGCCCGCAGGGGCCCGCCGGCGGCGCGGGACCGGCGGAGGGCGTGGGCGAGAGCCCAGGCGCCGCTGCGCAGCATCTTGGACTCGGGTCCTGCGGCCTGGCGGGGTTGTGTGGCGGTGGCGGTGGCTGGCTCAGCGGGCTGGGCGCTGGCTGGGCGTATCTGCGGCCTCCCCGCCTGCCAAAACTACCATGAATCGCTTTTTTTCGCGTTTATTTTACCGAGCTAGTTATTTATTTCATTTTAAAAAAACTAGTATTTAGAAAAGAATATAATTGCCATAGAATATCTTATTTAGAAAAGAATACAATTCCCATGGAGTTTCTGTCCTTTTTGCGTTGTTTGCGACGAAGAACAGTGGGGGCGAGGGGCGTTCGCATTGCAAACGCAATTGTCATATTCTGTGGCCGTTGAGCAGGTTGGCGGGTTGGAACGGCGCACTGCGCCCATCCACGGAAAATTGTGAAGCGTTTTCCGCGCCGCCTGGGCATCGCCTCCCGTCCAACGCCCCGCCAACGCCAACGCAAACCACGCACAGCAAGCGCCAAGAAATGCACGGCGACCGTCGACGCCACATCCGCGCGGTGAACTCTTTGCCGACTGCTACGGCCCAATCAGGCTGCTCCCCCCCCCACCCCACCCCACCCCTCCCGACAAAGTTCGCGCCATCCGACCAGGCCACAACCTTCCTCCGCCCAAAAAGAACGCGCCAAGGATCTCGGGTCTCACCGGCGTCCTCACTTGCACGCCATGCGGCGCAGCGCCCCCTTGTGCATGTCTTGGGGCGCCTGACGTCGGTGATGCGTGTGATGGACGGATGATATCACTGGCGGGCCCCTGGCCGACATCCGAGCCCGCTGGGGCTCGCAGTACCGCAACGAAAGTGGGCTGGCGGGACTGCCCTGGAGCGTTATCTGTCCAGAAGTTCCCCTCCCATTCGCCACCAGCGGCAGGCGCCTCGCTCCCCCCCAAGCGGCCCCCCCCAGGCTTTGCCCAGCGTCCGCTGCGCTCAGCGCCCCATTGGCGGGCCCGGCGGCATTCAAAGGCGCCGGCGGGAATTTTGGGCGCGGTTGGTCGACCGGGATGGCGGCCTCGAACGCGGGGCAGCTGCCTCGCCGGATTGTGAAGGAGACGCAGCGGCTGCTGAGCGAGCCGGCTCCCGGCATCAGCGCCTCGCCCTCAGAGGAGAACCTCCGCTACTTCTCGGTGATGATCCTGGGCCCGTCGCAGTCCCCCTACGACGGCGGCGTCTTCAAGCTGGAGCTCTTCCTGCCCGAGGACTACCCGATGGCCGCGCCCAAGGTGCGGTTCCTGACGCGGATCTACCATCCCAACATCGACCGGCTGGGCCGCATCTGCCTGGACATCCTCAAGGACAAGTGGAGCCCGGCGCTGCAGATCCGGACAGTGCTGCTGAGCATCCAGGCGCTGCTGTCCGCGCCCAACCCGGACGACCCGCTGGCGGAGGAGGTCGCGAAGCACTGGAAGGACAACGAGAGCGACGCGATCGCGGTGGCCAAGGAGTGGACCAGGATGTACGCAGCGGGCTGATTTGCGGGCGAGTGCAATTGTCGGCGGGGGGGAGTGGTCCGGGAGAGTTGCTAGAGTTGGGCAGGGGGGCGCCGGGAAGGCGGCATTGGAGGTGACGGCCATCCTTGCGCAGGCAGAGGAGGGGAGTCAAGTTGTTGGAGCGGGGTGGCGGGGCATGCGCGCGGGCGCACACAGACACAGGCTCGCGAGTCGCCCTCAGGATGCCGCCCTCAGAAGGTGGTTTGAGGGCTGGTGGGTGGCCATTTTCTGGGGCTCGTGCGATGCACCTTTCGTGCTCATCCCCTTTGCGCGATTATTCTCACGGGTGCGCGGCGCCGCCGGCTGCTTTTGGTGGGGGCGTGGAGGAAGCCGGCCCAACTGAAAATGCTGGCCGGGGCATGTTTGCTTCCAGTTTGGCGCCCTTCGCCAGAGACATGGCCACGTTGCCCTTTTTCTGTTTGTGCCCTCTGTGTTTATTCTCAGCGTTTGTGGATTGCGGACCTGGCAAGGCCATTGGCTGCATCCTGTGGGTAGTCCAGCTTTTTGTGGCAGAACAGAGCACGCTTCATCTTGTAGTCGCACCGACGCCAGATGGTTGATTGTAATTTCTGTGCCTCTGGGTAGTGTGCTGCCCTTGCAGTCTGGGGTCGCCGTGGTGGCCATCAAACCATCCGCCCCCATGTTCAACTGATTCTAGAAGGCCTGCGTGTCTTCGGTTGTTATGTCATGCCAGGTCTTGGTGTGCAAAACGGGCCTTACCCTGCTTGGTGACGTTGCTGTCGCTGGCTGCACAATGCTCAGTTGCTGCTTGGTCCCAGCCAGGTGAGGGCTCGGCGTGGCACCGATGCTCAGGATGCTGTTTACAAGGTAGCCGGGGGTGACCGTCGCTGTCCCATCCAGACAATGGGCGCCATAGTGGAGTGCCCCTAGACAAAGAAGGGGCAGCAACAAGGAGGCGTGGGGTGTGTCAGGGTGTGTCAGGGTCCTGTGAGGACATCAAGTCCAAAGCCAGCAACGGCACACTGAGGAGGGGGGAGGGGAAGACAACAGCATTGTTGTAGTTGTTTGTATTACTATCAATTTCTCGCTTCCATCATTTAAGAGCATTCAATGCTTCGACTCTGCAAGTGTTCTAGCAGCCTGCATCGACCCCACAAGCGATGCAGCTTACAGTTCGTGCAAGTTGTATTATGGGGTGCCACTGACAAATGTTCATCTGGTTCTATCAGAGCACAGACTTGTTTAATAGGTGAATGCAGAATTCGCTGTTGGTCATATGATCCGCGCACTCAATATGGGACACGTGTCTGGCATTTGGTGATTGGCACAAAACAGTGGACCAGTAGGAGACTTGGCGAGGAAAGCCGCTGAATGTTGAAAGCGAGAAAGTGAAAAAGAGGTCCCAAGATAAATGCATATTGCCAGCAAACAGGTCAGGAACAGCACAAGAAGCACTGAACATTTTTCGGATGAGCCACGCGTTGCTGGTGCGAAAGGCACAATTGCGCGAGGCTCGAGAAATGTAGAGAAAATGGAGCAGGTACACCTGCTACCATTTCTGATCACTCCAGGAGTAGCATGCATAGTGCGGGGGATTCTGTGAGACATAACTGTTTCCAAAGCCCACATGCACTGCCGACTCACAAGAAATTGGTCAACTCAGAACAAAAGCATCAAGGGACGAAAGGGCTCAACTCACATTCACATGAGCGCACAGGTTTCTAACGAATACTGACATGTTTCAGTCAGTGGGGATGCATCCTAACTTTTGAATCTATTTGATCAAGGGAAGAGGAGGCCAGAGATCTTTCTGTTTGGTCGCAGGAAGGCTTTTCATTGTCAGCACCATGAAAACACCGCGTCACCGGATGAAAACACTCCAGGCCGCAGTTCCAAGTTCGGGGGCTCCTGTAGAGGGTCCAGCCAGCGCCAGAGGGGGTATGCTTGCTAAGTGACGATCATGGCAATTGGATCAATCCAATTGACAATTCGCTGGGCGACAGAAACATGGGCTTGCTGGTGGGGATGGTACCCGGGTACAGGAAACCCGGGTATCTGGGGCGGGTACTGGGTTTTGTAGTACCCGCCTGTCCGAGTACCCGCCAACCCTTGTACCCGGATAGGCGGGTACGGGTACGTACCCGGGTACAGGCGGGTACGGGTACGTACCCGGGTACAGGCGGGTACGGGTACGTACCCGGGTACAGGCGGGTACGGGTACGTACCCGGGTACAGGCGGGTACGGGTACGTACCCGAGTACAGGCGGGTACCCAAGTCCCGGATACCCCGGGTACCCGGTTCCGGTTTTGCCACCCCGGGTACCATCCCTACCCAAGCCGTTGCTGGGGCCCCCAGCAACGGCTTGGGTATCACAATTCGAGGTCTGGGGGCGCGCCCCGGTTGCCAGAAACTGCCAGGCGGTTGTGGATTTCCGTTTGGGAATGGGCCGGACTGAGCGCCCGCCAGGTGGTGGTTTGCTAACAAGGCAGGCTATCAATCATTGCAGTCGCACATACGACATGCAGTGTGCAGCAGTTCGATATACGGCGAACACAATTCGTGTATATTATGCAGGAATTGTTTTGTACCAATTGGGTGCTGTCGGCTGCGTTTGGGGATCTCATCTTCCTGTGTACTCAAGTTCGTTTGGACGTTGATGAAGATCCCACTTTGGAGTGATCTTCGACATCGGCCAATCGCCGTCCAGGGCATTTGTTGAGAATGTTGTGGCCTTTACGATCAGTAAAGAGAGTTTAAATTGAACGGATAGGCCAGGGCGGGACGATTTGTGAAGGACACTCACGCAGTCTGGTTTTGGCATTTTCGTCAGTCAAAGGACACCTTCTCACTCTCACCACAGCCGAGGTCGCACTCTTGTTGTAAGCCTATGCACCTCGCTGTGTCGCCACTATTTTCGCACCCACCCGCCCCCCGCGTGGTTGGTGGTTTCACCTTTGGATATTGGTTTTTCTGTGGGATGTGCTTCAACGTGACCTACAAGTAGGGCCTGAAGGCAATTCAGATGGGAGAGGCTCAGCTGGACCAAGTTTGATTGATTGCATGCAGATGTTAGCAGGGATTGAACACTTTGTTTGTATGTCTGATGTTTGTAGACAATTTCATTTCTGGCACAGACCTTTGGTCTTTTGTGCCTGGGTGGGAGAGGACTGCAGTGTACATTTAATCTTTGTCCTTGTGACTTGGCGTGTTTCACAAGTGGAATCAGGAACCATTTCAAGAGAGTGCCGAGCGGTGATCCACTGGTCCTCTGGGGGGCACTGGCAAGTCGGGCTCCTCCCTGCCAATTCAACGTGGGGTCAGCGTTGGATGTTCTCTTGCCAGATGGCCCATTTTGTGTGCGACGTGCTTTGGATGCTGCAGGGAGATACGAACGGCTGACGTAGGTTTTTGCATCTCCCACTGGAACGTGATGTGGAGGCGTTACTACGCACATGCTGAGTCTAGGTGGTGCATTTTGATTCGCTGTCAAGCATCATATTGCGTGCCTCACTTCCTGATGATCTGGCTCTCCCGTGGCAGCTCCGGGTATGTGCAGCCGTGTCCTGGGTCGCCATTCAGGATGAAAGGGCTTTGCTCTGATATGTGTTGTTGGCATTGTTGTCCGAAGAGTCTTATAGCATTCGTCATTGGTCCATATCTAAGTCTTCTGTGCCGGCCGACGACCAGTGACACGACACATATCATTCAGGATTTCCACCGTCGAGGCCAATGTTTTTTAGCGCAAGCATCTGGATTGCTCCGGTGGAAGTAACGGCAGAAACAGCACTGGGGATATTGATGACTCAAAAATCCAAGAATTTGCCCCTCGTAGCAAGGGCACCTTTGGACGACATTTGGCTGGCGAGAGGTGGCCAGATCCTTGACTCTATCCCATTCTTTGTCATAACAGACCACGGTCATGTGTACGAAACAGATCCACAGAATCGACGCAAGGGCATTTCTGTTGCAGAATTCATCGACGCCTGAGCGTGTGGCTCCGAGTTGACGCCGAATAGAGCATTTTTGGATCAATTGTATTGGTGTCGAGACTGGCTTCTCTCTGGTTGGTTCAAATTTCTCCTCTGGCCTAACCAGAAATATGCAGTCACCTTCGGCCAAACTTCTGATCCAAGATCGCTCCACTTACGAGAATGGAGGCAAGACCAGCTGAACCCCGCACCAGGAATGAATCAAGGCAAGCCCAGCAGAAAACAACGTTGGTTCAACATAGTCACAGATGTCGCTGGTGAGGGTGGCTGTGTGCGTTCGCCATACATGGACGTTGGTACACTCTTGCCCTTTGGCAGCAACGAGGCTCTTTTAGGCAATGCGACTGGTTAGCAGCCCTAACAATTTTTGCTTCAGGGCCTGATGCACGGGTGTGCGCACGTGCAGCGTTCAGAAGGCCACTGGATGGGGCAAAGGCTGCCAGTCGAAAAGGGATTATCACCTGCATTGCTGATCCCCACCAAGCGCCTTCTTGCAAAGTTTGAGCCTAGCTTTGCAATACCTCAGGACCAATGGTCGGGGGACGCATGGGGGCAAGTGTGACGGCTGTCCATGTCCATGACAATTGCTCGTCTCACCCGGTTGGTGCATTCGATGTCCGGTTCCTGCTGATGCTAATTGAAAGCTGCAGTTCATCTTTTGAGACTGTCAAACTCTCCAGCACAGCAGAAATGTTATGCAGCCGCAGCAACACATTCATCCACAAATCCACGGAACATCCCTTGGGCCCTTTGCTTTTTCATGCAGCTCAATTACATCAATGCCAGTCAGCTGCTGCCGATTCGGATGATTGTCTGGGCTGCATGCGCCCCTGATCTACCTTGGGTCCTTGAGTAACATCACAAATGAGAACTTCCTTGCCTCGTAACCAACCCAGCCAGTCCATGCACATAAATGCAGCAGGGTGACCCCAGGTACATCTGTTGACAGTGTCTTTGTCAAGTTCTCCAGAAGGAAAACGTGCTACAGATGCCTTGCATATCTGCAGCGCCGCTAATAGGAGTGTGATGACAGTCCACAGATTTTTCCTCCCTGTTTCCCTTGTGTTCTTGCCACCATTTCTGTGCTTTCCATTCCCGATGAGGGCAGCAAACGCACATGAAGTGGCAGGCTACAAGGAAGGAATCAAAAGTGCCAGAAGCTAAGCACGATTCTCAACAATCAGCGCAGAGCACCTGGGGCAGGTTGCCCCTCCTGACCCCTCATGTCTCCCAAACACACATTGGCGCTGCCGCTCGAGCACCCCTCTCCATTTTTGTGCACGGTCGGCAACGGGGACCCGAGGAGAGCAGGCAGCACCGCAAGGGTGCCCTCCCTGGCTTCCCACTGCGGAAAGAATTACCCCAGAAAATAGAAAAAAAGGGATCCGGCAGCACCAGCCTCACTTCGAATCCTTCGGTGCCGGCTTGCCCGTGTATTGCGCCTTACCCCAGCTGAACGGCAAGTACCGATACTTGATCATGTGCTTGATCTGCCTCTTCATGGTCACCATGAACAGGACCACCCAGTACAGCAGGAGGATGGGCCAAAAGACGGGAACGTCGAACACCGGGAACAGGGTCATCAGCAGGCCCGTCAAGACCGATTTGGAGCACGAAAGCCAAAATTTGAACTCCGGCAACCTCCTGGCGAACGGCCTGAACTCGTCGTCCGCCTTGGTGGGCAGTTCGGGGCCCTCCAGCCCCGGGTCCGACTGCGGCGTCAGGAACCCAATCAGCAAGTTGAGGTTGTAGATCCCCAGGCCGTAGGTGACGATGTAGAACCCCCGCAGCAGGTACACCCTCACGGCGTAGACGACGATCAGCGCGGCCAGGGCCAGCCAGCGCTCTGCGATCCGGGGCGTGCTCTTGTCCAGGTAGAACTGAACCGTTCGCGACACCTTGGCGCGGAAGCGGTCCAGGGGCTCCGACTCCGCCATGGCCCGCGATCCCCTGGTGCCCCCCCGCCTCCGGGCGGCGCCGCGCACCGCCGGACGGGCTCTCCCGGCTGCCTTCAGCGGCTGAGGGCCTGCCGCTGTGGCCCCTCGCAAGCACACCGCCGACGACTCCCGCTGATTGCATTAACCTATCAGGCCCCGCCCCTATGTTCGTTGGATATTCTTACCCCTTCCCCCCCCCCCGCCCCCCCTTTTCTGCTTATCCGTTTTTTTTCCGCCCAATCGCCTTATTTGTCCGCTGTGCCGCCGCGCCAGGCGCGTGCGCACGGTCTTCCCGGCTGCCTGCGTCACGTCGCACAGAGCGCTGCTCGGCGAGACGCGCTACGCGGCCAGGGCGCCGCGCCCCTCTCCAGTCCGCGCCTGCCCACCCTGCAGCCCACCACACTCTCCCGGTGAGCCACTCCGGCCGCATCGGGGCACTTCCCGTAGCCACCGGTGCTCCGGCCGCCCGCCACGGGCCTCTGGGGGCCCCCCAAGCACGGCGGCCGCCATGGAGGGCTTCGCCACGGACGGCGGTTACGCCGATGCGCCGACCTACGCCTACCCGTCCGAATCCGAGGCAGCGCAGCAGCCGCCGCTTCCCGCGGGGCCGATCCAGCCCGAGCCGGCCACAGGGCAGGCCGCTCCGGTGGGAGTTCCGCCGGCGCGGGGCGGCGATGGCGATCCGAGCTTTCAAAATGGCGGCTGGTGGCCTAGGCAGGAGGGGACGGTATCCTGTGGCGCTGAAATTGAGAACGGGATAGGCAGTTTGGTTCCGGGGGAGGGAGGCCCGGTGACAGCGCATGGCGAGGGATGCGACCCGAACACGGAGGCTGGAGGCGGAGCCTGCGCCGGTGGACCGGTGCAGGCGGGTGGATATGCCGATCAGCAAGTGCAAGGGGCCGGTGGGGCGTGGAGTTACGGCCAGGCGCAGGGCGTGGGGCAGGAGAGCAATGGAGCTGCACAGGCGGGGTATGAGGCGTATGGGAACCCGGGGTGGGGACAGGAGGCGCTGGAGGGCCAGAGGGCGCCGTGGGAGCAGACTCAGAATCAGATGGGGTCGGGTGTGCCGGGCGGGTGTCCTGAGCCCGGCGCGGAGGCTCCGGCTCCCACGAGGAAGAGAAGGAACAGATGGGGCCCCGTGGAGGCCGAGGCGGCGCCCTGCAGCGATCCTGGGGACGGTGCAGGCAAGACGAAGAAGCGGAGGAGCCGGTGGGAGACGAACGATGATGCGGCTGGGGCGGGTGCCCTGACGGTGGTGCCCAAGTTTCCAAAGGAACTGACTCTGCCAGGCGGCATCAGGGTGAGCTTGCGCCCGTTCAGGGCTCGTAGATGAGCGCTGTTCTGCAGCTGGTTCTTGGCCTTGCACCTGCCATTGGCGTCATGATGCAAGGGCCTGCTATAACATAGGAGGTTGTCAATGCAATTTACTACGGAGTCGCTTGAGACTCTTGGCACAGCAGCCTCACTGTTCTCTTGGTTTCCTTGTGGCTTTGTTTGGCTTGTTGAGTGCTTTTCTGTTGTATTCTGTGTTTGTATTTTTGTTCATGGTGGTGACAGGATGCCCGTGTTGTTGCCTGCACAGGTGACTCTGCCTCCTCACCTTACCGGTGAGCCTATCCACACTGACCCTGAGCTCAGGGACTTGCATGAGGAACTTGCAGATGTGAGCCGCAAGATTCTCAACAACGAGGTGGATTTGCCTCCAGAGCATGAGCGCTCTCCCTCACCAGAGCCTGTCTATGACAAGATGGGCATTCGGCTGAACACAAGGGAGGTTCGCTATAGGGAGAGGCTGATTGCGAGAAAGAGTGAGCTGATTGAGGAACTTATTAAGAAGGACAGCAATTACAAGGCGCCTGCAGATTACAAACCCCAGAAGAAGTCTGCCAAGATCTACATCCCTCAGAAGGACTTCCCTGGGTATAATTTTATTGGGCTGATCATTGGCCCCCGTGGCAACACCCAGAAGAGGATGCAGAAGGAAACAAACACGAAGATTGCCATCCGTGGCAGGGGCTCTGTGAAGGAAGGAGCGGCCAGAGACCCAAAGTATGACTATGGCGAGGATGAGGAGCTCCATGTACTGATTACTGGGGACAAGCAGGAGGATGTGAGTACAAATGGGGGCTCGCTCTTCAGCTGAACTCCTGCAAGTGGTTTCTTCTTCCACATGTTCTCTCTTCCAGGAATTGGTTTGCCTTTCTGAATCTTGGAGTTCAACCAGCAGTTAGATGCTCTTATTTGAGAACATTTCATATTATTTGGCAGTCCATTTGGTGTCCCTCTCTTGACATAAGAGTTCTGGGGCTTGTGCTGCATCACAAGAGAGTACAAGCCAGTGCAAAACCTGAGAGACCAAGTGTATGAATGTGAATGCACTGGTGTGGTGCTGTTGATGTTGCAAACTGTGAAAGGCACAGGCTGCTTGCGTGGTTGGCATGCATCCTAACTTGGCATATGCCAATTCGCAGGTCGATCAGGCAGCCAACATGATTGAGAAGCTGCTCCAGCCTGTGGACGAAGAGCGGAACGAGCACAAGCGCATGCAGCTGAGGGAGCTCGCGGCTTTGAATGGCACGCTCAAGGATGACCAGACCTGCTACCTGTGTGGCAACTCAGGCCATCGGTCGTACGAGTGCCCGAAGAAGGCGTTGGACCTCTACAAGCTGCCTACCCACATCCAAGAGAAGGTGGATGAGCAGTACCAGAAGGACGTTGCTCGAGTGAGGCCAGAGGAGGCTGGCAAGTTGGACAACGAGTACAAGTCGTTCCTGATGGAGCTTGGTGGCGGCCCACAGCCAGACCCCATGAGTGGTGGACCGGGGCCCATGGTCAGCAGCAGGGATGACCCAGCAGCCAGGATGAAGCGGCCTGGAGATGACATGCCAGATGATTGCAAACTGTACGTCGGCAATCTGGCGACGAGTTTCAGCGACAGCATGCTCAGGCAGCTGTTCGACCCCTTTGGTGAGGTCATGCATGCCACAGTGTTGATGGACCTATCGACGGGGACGAGCAGGGGCTACGGCTTTGTTCACTTCACCAACAACATGGACTCAAGGCATGCAGCAGAGGAGATGAATGGCAAGCTCGTGGACGGACGCCCCCTTGTGGTGCGGCTCCGCTCCGAGGGGCCGCCGACACAGAAGCCCAAGTACGGGGTGCAGGAGCCGGACGACTGCAAGTTGTACGTCGCACACCTGCCCCTCACTGTCAACGAGTTGACCCTTCGGAAACTCTTTGAGCCATACGGCCAAGTGGGAGAGGTCAAGCTGATCACAGACCGTGTGACAGGTCAGGTGAAGGGCTACGGCTTTGTCAACATGGCTTCACCCCAGTCGGCACAGGCTGCCATCCAGGGCCTTAATGGGTACCGACTGGAGGGCAAGACACTGACGGTTCGCATCGCAGGGCAACGTCCACCCCAAGGCCCTGCTCCGATGGCCACTTCTGCCAATGCCACAGTCATGGGCGCAAGGCCACAGCTTCCCAATCGGGGTCCGCTGCCGATGGTGTACTCGCTGGGACAGACGGCCCCGCCCGCCCCTGCTCCTGTGCCCATGGCCTACCCGCCAGCCCACCCAATGGTGCCTGTGGCCTCGAGGCCACAGCCCATGGTCCCGATGGCCCGCATGACGCACCTCCCCCCTGGCGGTGTGGTGGCACCCCAACCTGGGATGGCTCCTGTGTATGCTCCCCACGCAGTGCCCCACGGCCACTACCCCCCGCCCCAAGCTCAGGTGCCGCCCCCGGGCTACGCCATGCCTCAGCAGTACGGCCAGCCGACCTACAGCATCCCGCCACCACTGCCTCAAGCCGGGAGGGAACCGCCGCCGCCGCCGCCGAGCGGCCCCCCTCCCAACATCCCCCCTCCTCCGCCGGAGGGCAATGTGCAGAGCGAGTACGAGAGGTTCATGCAGGAGATGCAGGGAGGATTGCCATCATGACGACAGTTCCCAGCGCTAGTCAGGATGTTGTGTCCCAGTGCACTGTAGTGAGCTTTGTGTTGAGGCACCTGACTGGCTGGTGGAGGAGAGCTGGACCTGGGAGGCTGGATATCGCGAGCCAGAAGTGTCATGAAGCGGATTACATGAATGTCTGACAGAGAGCCATCTTTTGCTTGTGACATGGACTCTTTGACTTTGCGAGTAGCATTGTCGCTATTGGTGTCCTTAACGGAGGCGACTTGGGCAGGAAGCAGGCGCGGAGTTGGCACAACGTAGAAATTTCATTTGGGTGTTTCTTTTATGGCTGCATGTCTCACCTCTGTGTGTCTGTGTGTGTGTCGGGCTGACCTGGTTCGATTTGTGTGCCTCTTACCACGTCTGTGTGCTGTTTGGATATGGCCATGCTGCACGGCAGTCAATGGCGTTGTTTAGGCGTGTGGACGGGGCACACATTCAGAGATGCATCGCCCAACTTGCGGGTGCCATCTCAACTGGCAGTTCAAGTGGATGCTCCAGCGCCAAAACACCTATGGTCCGGGTTGGCCATTGGATGCGGAGGGCATTATCAGCACCTCTCTGCGGAGCAAGCACAGGGTTGATGTTTTAGTGCTTTCAGAGGAGTTTGGTGTTGACTAAATGCGTGGGGCGATCACCCGAGCTTGTGTGTGTGCGTGTGTTTTGTGTGTTCTTTCGTATGTGGATTCTTTCTCGCCATGGGAGCAGAACCGGAACAAGCAGGCTGGAACAAATGCGGAGAAGGCACAACAGAGAATTGCTGGGGACCGCCAGCATTGCAGAACAACGGCTCACACTGCCCACGTGTTAATGACCCCCCTATTTTCACTGCCGCCTGTGCTGTTGGCAGCTCCCTTTTGCGGTTCCGTTTGTGGTTGTGGCTCCACCTGTTGGATTGACATTCTGCCAACTTATCACAGGTTATTGCTTGAGTGACACGGAGCCCCGAGTGCAGAGCTTCACCGAGTGGCGAATCTCTGCTGGGTAGCTTGTATGTCGACTAAATTCATGCCATTTTGTGTCGGGTTGTATTTGCCACCAGAAGTGCAGGTTCCTGTATGGTTATGTTGCTTGTTTGCATGGCGACAGCACACGGGCAGGGTACCGCAACAACGTTAAAAGGCCCAGCCCTACAAACACAATTTCAACACACCCGCGGGCTATCCTCTTCGCCTTGTTTGCTGCCGTGAAATGTACATTTGAATGCTGCCGATGCTTTCTGTGTTCTTGTGGTGTGTCTGCCTATGTTGTCTTTAGGTGGATTTTACAATGAAGACATTGAAAGTCGCCCAGTACAGGCGACACATTGCCGGGAGCTCGAAGATTGTGCTGACATCCTGTCACAGTTGCGCATGAATCACTGAATCCCTTTTTGGCATGGCTGCCAGAATCCTGTCTGCAATGCAACTCGCGCATATGTAGCAGCACAGTCAGCGGCGGGTTGCATGCTCTATCACACAAAGGCAGATTGATGCACGGTACAGGCACAAATGCACATTCCCCATGTTGTGGCACGGCGCCACCCTCAAGCCATCCTGCACGATTGAGCATGTGGCCCGCCTGCGCAGGGTCGTATCTGCGGGTGCGGCTGGCAGCGATTGGGCCGGATAACTCTCACCAGCTCTGCTGCCGCTCCTCTAGAGCCTTCGTTGCTGGATTCACTTGGCGCCAAGCGGGCAAGCCTTCCCCGCGCGCATCGATTCAAATTGATTGGTAAACGTGGCATAGCGGAATTAGAGGAGTTGCACTCTCGTACGTATGCATGTGGGCTGTGTCAAAAGTCCAAATCGCCCTCATTCTACGCTGGGGTCCATCATTTGCACCAACATGGTCTAAAGATTGTCTTCCAAACAGCGCAAAAGAATGAATCTTGCTTGGAATCCCGTCTGCGTTGGTCTTAGACGCTCAGAATAGGATCAGAAAACAATATCTGCAATGCCTAAAGATTGCCCGTCAGTGGGTGTCATTTTTCAAACTGAATTTGGCCACACGTGATGGACGATCCTCTTGTCATAGTCTTACTCTCGCACCGCCCCTAGTCGCCAATCGCCTCCCTCGTTTGGGACAGGCTGACGCTTGTCTACAAGCAAGGGGTCCTCTCGCTGTGTCTCGACGCCATTCTTCACTGCCCACTGCTCCTGGTCAGTCAGCACGGGCTCTTCAGCGGCAGATTCGACTTCAAGGACAGGTGTTTTTAATGCTGCGTACGCACACCAGTCATCACCGGCAAACAATCAACTTCAGGGCTGAATGGTCATCCCAAGAATTAATGCATCGTTGAGAGCCATGCCTCATCGAGTGCGGTGGGCGCACAGAACCGCAGGATTAGGCTCCCAGTGTCCATTCCTGTTCTTGACCTTCTTGTCGTTGTTGTCGTGTTGGAACTGTTGGGCACAACGTGTGTTTTCCAAACTCGGCCGTTAGCCCTGCGTTGCTCACTTTTGCAATGAATGGTGCGGTGCTTTTGGTCCCACATGCTCTTCCCATCCCCTTTGCAGCCACATTGTTTGAGTAATAACCAAGCATCGCGACGGCACAATGCCTCGTCAGCAAGTGCATAGGAGACGAGGAGTCCGCGGAGGACGAACAGCACCTGATACGATGAACTGTCAATTACTAATATCGGTGACACAGCTTTCGAGCTTTTCTATGTAGTTCAACGCCGCTGAGGCCCAAAGAGGGGGTTGGGCACCAATACAGGGTAAACATCTTATGGGCCGCTGTCTGTTGAAATGAAATCCATGATGCCAGCCAGGACGCTGGCCAGGAGACCTGGTATGAACGACACGAGTCCAACACATGGGCTTTGCCCGCGATTGGTGGGCCCCTCCAACCCCCAAGAATGCAAACCTGTTCACACTCGCTTTAATTTTCACCCACTCTGGAGACCGCTGCCACGCTGGCAACTGCATCCTGCACCTTTCCGCCCCAAAACTCGCGATGTGTCGCTCAGCGGGGCTCCTTGCTGTCAAACTGTGCCCCCATCGCTGCGCTCCTATTCCATCCTTTCCACGCTCATAACAGCCTGCAATCAGTCGTTTCGCCGCCCCGTTGTCGCCGCCCTCCTCACGCCACGGCCGTGCTCTTGAACTCCACCCTCGCGGCCCCCACGCCGACGCCCACGTCGGACCCCTCAGTCCCAACAAAAATGTCAACCGGCGGCCGCATCTCCGAGCACGTCGCCAGCGCCCCGTGCACGGGGCTGTTGAAAAAGTCCCGCAGCATCTCGTCGTCCACGGGCTCCTCGCTGTCGATCTTGACGTATGCCTACTCATCAACAGAGCGAGAATATTCCATCAAATTGGGATCCCTTTTGCAAAGGGTCCGACGTCACAAGTCATGCGCCATCTGTAGTACATGTGTGTGTCCCACTTTTTTTCAGCCACTGAAGCCTACCTGCTCATCCAGGGCGGCCATGAACCGCGGGTACCACTTGCGTGAGCCTAGCCGCGCGGTGTGGGAGCAGTTGTCGACCATGAACGCCACGCCGCGTGCGTGCATGTAGGGGTTGAGGGAGTCCACGGCCTCGATGATGGACTCGTTGCAGATCTCCGAGTAGGGGTGGCCATTCCTCTTGAGGACCTCCACGGTGGCCATCATGACCGCCACGTAGACGCCGGCAGTGAAAGGGTCCAGTGGGATGTCCGCTTCCACGCGGTTGGCGCGCACGTTCTTTCCAACCTGGCGCAGTCGTTCGAGTGCTCAGACAACACACCGGACGGGCGACTGTTGAAGAACGTGGTGTGGTGCTAACAAGAATGGTAAAACTGGTAACAAAATACTAGTAAAAATTGGCAAATGCCGACAACAAAAGTTGGCAAAATGGTATCAATGTAGTAACAAGTTGGGCAGCTATGTCAGTCAGAACAAGCACCTGCATTGGACAAACATACTTGCCCAGTGAAGGTCATCACTGTCTGACACTGCATCATGCACTGCGTGCTGGTCGGCAAGGGTTTGCATGAACAGTGAACCAATCGTCAACAGCAGCAGTTTGCATCGCACTGCCCCGAGCTACTGCAGAATGCGCTGTACTTTCGGGCAGTACAGTTTCCACTTGGCATGCACATCTGCCATGCATAGCGCCAACACCCGCGGCTCTGCATCCCACAGCGGAAACTTGTGGATGTGGACAGTGCGTGACATCGCCCAGTGGGTGACAAAGCAGCGATTCGTTTTCTTTTTTGTACCAAATAGAAGCCAAGGATGTACACAACCCGCAAACTGAAATCAGCTGAACAGTTGCCACAACATGAGCCAGGGGGTCCTGCATTCTATCCCCAGGAACGAAGGAGCATAGGCGGATATAGCAAGCCCCAACAGACCCAACAATTCAGAAAACATATCAATGCTTATTCATGATTCACCCACGTTGACAACTCGTACCCCAATGGCTGCATTGGTTCCACACGACGATGAGTGTTGTAGGTTGATAGCATTGGAGACAATTGGCCTGCATGTGGGTGCCGCCCCAGGGCTAGCAACGAATAAAGTCGGCATTTGACCACAGGCTTGTGCCAAAGGACAGGATCAGTGTGTTGCACAAATCCACCACGGATGCATGGCTGTGCATTTCGTGTGAGGCACAGGGGCCACATCTCATCTCCTACGGTGGGACAGGTGCGCCTCCTGGATTTCAAAAAAAATGTGCAACAATTGCAAGTGCACCGGACAAAGCTCTCTACCTTGTAAAAATCGATCAAGGCAACATGCACACCTGCCACATGTACGTCTGGTCGATTGTGGCCATCGGAAACTCGTCCAGTCGAGCACACCGGCGGATGACAGACTGGATTTCGCTCCCACTGGACACCTCGTCGTAGACCTCCAGGCATATGTCCAGCGCCGCTTTGTAGGTGGCCGAGTACGCTTTCTCGAACGTCTTCTTGCCTTCTGCGTCCAGCGAGCTGTACAATGCCAGCATGCCCTTCGTAGAGATTGTCCTCGAGATGGGTCCCGTGATACTCTCCACACTGTGTTTGAATGCGTCTTCAGGGCTGACGGACGAAAGTGCAGCAAATAGTTGCTTAATGAGCGGTCGAAATTTGTTGCATATTGTACGTACAGATGATAGAAGCACAATCGCTTTGTGCCTCAATATTCGTCCAGACAAAAGCCAGCATATTTGTTGTTGTGAAACGACTGTCAACCCAGTGATTACGCTCTGCATTATGGGGGAATAAACAAACACATGTTAGATGTTGCTGTGCCCATCTTCAAGGCGCAAGCATTGCTACGGCACAGCAGCTGACAAAACTAAAAAGACCATCGAACGTTTGTACTTGATGGCAGGTGATACGATGCTGGCCTTGCACCTCTGCGGCAACAATTAAACCACTCCAACATGAGGACAAGATGCAACAGTGCACATGCACAGTGGCCTGAGGAATCAGGGTCCAACCATTGCCTACAACACCTTGCAGGGTTTTGCAATTGACTTGGTTCAGGATTTTGTGCTCCATGGAGCTTGTATTCCGGACATTCCGTGTGCAGCTACATGCCTGATATCGTCCGGGTGCACAGGTGCAAGGCCTGTTGTCTGTCGCTTTTCAACAAATGCAATCAACAACTTGCAAAGCTGCAACACATCTTCTGCTGTAGGAGAAACAGGTTGCCACAACGATCCTAACATCAGGAGCGATAGAATGCCCTTTTGCCCCAGGTTGACATAGCTCCGAGACCGCTGAAGCTGAAATTGTCGGCGGCTACGTATGTGCTATTTTGTTGATGGAAAGCTGCATGAAAGTGCAATACACTGCATTCTCGGTGCAATCCACTGTACAGGGTTCAGTGCACTCCCATTGCTGCCACAAGGTATGCACCACACGAACTGAATGCCACCGAAAACCGCCACAGGCAAACAGAAGGGCAGAATCTTCATGTTTTGAAGCTCCAGAGGAACAGCACAAATATGAGCGCCTCCACAGCCTTCAGCAAGCCTATGACAGCCCAATCAGCGTCTTGGGCATCACCTAATGTGTGTAGCAGCCTCGATTTGTCACGTACTAATGCAATGAATGCAGAAGTACGCCTGCCACAGGTGCTTCACTGCGATCCAGAGGTCCAATCGTGTCAAGTTGCTCACAAAGGTGAGCAGTAAGAACAGCTTCTCCCGGTTCACCTGGATTCATCACTGTGGTGTAGTACTCTGGAACTAAAAGGAAGGAAACAAAACATCCTGGTTCACCTACACATTGGATTTGATGCAGTTTCTGCAATCAAAACACAGTAGACAACTTGTCTTGGGTGCATCCGTCCTGTTTCTGACTCTCACCTCATCCCTTGGCTGGTGTATCTCCTGAAAAGGCTCTCAACCATTCCATGCACTGCACCCAGCAAGATGCAGCGCTCGCCATAAATGTCACTCTTGTACTCACTCTCCAGCGTCGTACCTGGGTTGTCCGCCAAACACATGAGCACAATCACTTGACAAAAACGACACCCTTTCTCACATAGGTCCCATCACAGACATCTGCTGCCATCAATGCTGCATCTACTCTGCCCACGATCCAGCAGATATTACATTGTGTAATGCACATCTGAGTCAACTTTCACATGTTGAAGAAAATACTAATCAGCTTCAAATCTGGGAGTGCTTACCCTGCCACTTCCATCCAGACATGGGCGTAGGTAATGAAAGTGCCCTGACAGGTAAGAGTATCCAACACAAATGAACTTGAATAATCACACCCATCACAAATCTGACTCTTTATGGAACTCACAGTAATCATAAAATCCCCCCCCCCCCCCACCTCCCCATTCACCTCACCAGAGCAGACGCAGTACAGAGGCCAATAACAGTGTGTAGTCTTGTGACTGAATCTGCCAGCATTCTGATAGTCTGATTTTTGCGCAAACGATGCACTAACCACCAAAGAGACTACATTTCAGCAAAATGACTGTAGCGCAAACCAGATGCCATGCACAAGATTTAAACAGTGGAAAATGGACTCAGCCCAACATGCACACTTACAGAATGCAAATGGGGCGCCGATGGCAACAGCCCAGCCAAGAGCAATGTCGGTGGCAGTCCCAGTGAAGTCCTGGCCAGGCAGCAAAGAAAGAAAATTGATCATCCGATTCAATGGCGTTGCAACAAATAAGGCCCTGGTGCCCGTACATTGCATGTGAACAACACCAGATCTATGGAGGTAATGAGCTTTGATTGCTATTACAGTGTCTACCTATTGGAGAGGTACCAATCAGCAGGGACAGAGACGTGAGACTGTTTAGGGTTGGTGTTATCAGTGATGTGGTGAACTACAGTTGTTGCCAGTGCTCTGCCTATAACAAACGCTGTATTTCAGAGGGAAGAAATCAAACAAATGAGGTAAATGAGTTAAATGAGGTAATCCCCATCAGGACGCACAGGACAGCTGCCAACTTGCAACAATGCACGAACACTTGTGGATGTGACCTTTCACCAGTGGGCGGTCTGGACGTAACTGTGAACAATGATAATCGTACTTTGACGATTGATATCAAAGCAGATTTTGAAGAAGCGGCAGATGGCAAGAAAAGAGCATCGGCAGCTGCACATGTCAGCAAGCACCACAACATGAGCCAATCCCAGCAACACACAACATAACACTGGCTGGCTATATGCCTATAGGTAAGCCTACAGACTGTTTCGAGCGGAATTCAATACATGAGGTGCCTGACACTTCCACAAAGCTAACATGTGATAGATGTAAAGCAGCAACATCCGCACGGACTTCATTCATCAAATATGGCTATCCACTGCCCTTGCACCTCCTAAACGAAGTCAGGCACCCATCACAATCTGAAGTGTGTGGTAGCGACGTGCTCGTGATTCTGCTCTCCGCTGAAAAACTCTGAGCGCTGTACAGATAGCATGGAACAAAGAAAAACAGCAGCACCAAGGACTTTTCTGGCTGTTCGCCATCAGTTGGGAACCTGCAGCTCACCTGGTGCACAGCAAACGAACAGTTGATTCCTGCCCCATTGACCTCCTTGCCCTGCAAGTAGAGCTGCCGCACAGATGGTCCCATTCCCTGTGCAGCCATCAAACTCATGAGCAGTCAATCACAAACGGGACAGCTTTCAATACCACTGGCACCCGTGAAAAGGCACATGGATGAGCCATACACGCAAAGACAGCCGACAGAATATGCAATACAAGGCTGACATCCATTTTGATTGCATGCGTACTCATGTGTCAATGTACCGATGTTCTGACCATGAGGCAGTGTCTCTGGTCTCTTTGTATTTCCAGATTCCCCCCCAACCCCCCAACTCTTGTTGACTGCCAGGCACCAGCCCCCCAACAAGGTGGGGAAAAAGGAAGCCTGCATAACAGCAAGCTGCACAACGCTTCATAGATCCCCAAGATATGAACGTGCTCCTGGAGCCGCAAGACATTGCATGTTGTGATAGGAAAGTGTGGCTATTGGGCACACCCTGAGGCAAACATACAGCTCCTGCAGTTTCCAGTACCATCAGAAGAAGAAACGCTTCCAGTGATGGCGAAAAGCCCAGCGCATAACTCAGGTCGAATACCCATGCACCGACCATTGGTGGTTCTCCAGAGTATCTGTAGCCACACTGACGACAATCGACATCTCTCCTGCACATCACATCCCCAAAGCTACACCATGGAAAAGACCAACAGGGCACATCCAGGGGCGGGCTTTCACCTTGGGAGCCACAAGCACAACGTTGATGTCTGGTCGGAAATCCACTCCATCGTTTGTCATCACACCAAGCAGGAAGCCATGTGACAGGCCCAGAGTGGCACCAGGTTTCATGGCTGCGAGAATTCGTGGATATAGCTTTGCCTGAAGTGCAGAGCATCGAATGGTGTGAAATTCCTTCATCAGGATATTTCCAATCAGAATGAGTGAGCTCATGCATACAATGGCATTGATCATGGTCATGTTAACACTGTATTCAAAGGGTGTACCAACATGTCTTGCTCCCTCTTCAGAAGGTCCAAATGGCAACCACTTGCTTTGCTGCCAAATACAGAGCACAGGTCTAAAATAGCTTGTCTGATACTTCTTCTGTCCCAGATTCACTGTCGTCTATGACTTTGGGGCATTATTTCTCCACCAGACCAACATCATTTTTCAATTAAATTTCACCCAAGTTGTGCTTGTGAGTTTGGAGTATGCTATTAGAATTTCAAGCCAGTCCATTAAGTATTGAGGATTTGACTGTACTTTGTATCAAGGGTTCTTTTACCTAGTAAAGCTTGATATTTGGGGTGAAAATTGAACCAAAATTTACCTTTCCCCTTGCCCTCAAAGGGGTTGTGTCTCACTTTTTCTTCTTGAAACTGGTAGTTACAGGTTTTGTAATTTTGAGGCCATCCTTGTAACGATTTTTGTTTTTCAAGTAGACGACAATTAATCTGGGACAGAAAAAGTATTCTTCAAGCACGTGCCTGTCTTTGCGGAGCAAAGTCCATCGAGTCATCCGGATGCATCCAAGTATTTTATCCAAAAGAACTGAAGCTTGCCGAGTCTTCCAAATGTGATTGTCCCCTGTGGTGTTGCATACTGTGTTGCATGCCTCACATTTGACCAGTAACCATTGCGCATCATCTTGCCATTTCGCCTCCCAAACTCACAACAGCATCTGCTATTTTGGACTTTTGCCTCTGTCAGTTCTGCAGCGGACAGGTTGGCGCTGGCCTAGTGTTCAGGTCACTCAAGGGCTGTGCAGGCGGCACTAGTTCGACTGGATACGAGTGCACTGCACAATGCCAAGACTTCTCCAGCGCTCGAGAACTCTCAGGGACACATCCCCACGCACTGCCAGTCATCTGAGATAGCGCCCCACCTGTGCGGCGTCGGAGATGAGCAGCATCACTAGGTCACTCTTTGAGATGACATCATACACCTCCCCAAGGGTCCCATTAGCCTTGGTGAATCCGCACCCCTCCGCCTCAGCAGCCGACGACGACCCCTCCCTCAGGCCAATCACCACCTTCACGTCGTCCCCCAGTCCGGCGACCTCCAGCGACTCCCTCAGATTCTGGGCCTGGGCCGGCGCCTGAGAGCCCCAGCCGATCACGCCCACCTGGAGAATCGAGCAGGCATCCTTGACACAACATTCTCCAACAAACGTACCACTACACGTGTTGGTAAACATGCTGGCACCCGAGCATAGCGTTCTCGAGCAAACAGTCCTGAACAAACACTCCAGGACGTACCGTGCTGATGATACATGCTTTTTGAACGCTGTGGACGGATTCTTGCCCGCCATATCCCTGCAAAGCAATGCGAGCGAGCGCAAGCAAAAACGGTCGCCCTTCCTGCACCCGACCAGCGCGCACACCACCGACATGCACGATCAAACAGTAAACTCGATATGAACGTCGCAGCGGCCGACATTTCCTCCAAACCGCAAACGGCCCGCTCTTCCCGCGCCCCAACCAACTCAATCAACAGAATCCAGGCGCAACGGCGACCAGCTGAGAGGCTCCCTGAGCGCTGTTTTCTTGCCTATGGCGTCGCTTGCGTCGTGTGCTCATCATTTCGCATCGAAGGCTCTACATCATCTTCTCACAGCATGGAAAATAGTCTCGCACACGCTCATTGAGGAGGGGGCGCGCTTTGTACGACCCGTTTCTGTCCCTCTTTGTAACAAATCTCACCGGCCCCCACCTGGCTGATCCCCGCGAACGCCTTGGGCAGCAGCTCCAGCTTGTCCCGCCCCCCCCGCACGATGCTCTCGGCGCCCCCCGCCATCGACACTGACTCCTTGGCGAACACCGCTGGCTCGAAATCTCCGCCCGAAGCGGCCGCGGTAATGGGCCCCGCCCGCTGCTCCCTGGCCTGGAGGGTGGCGCGGGTCGGATGCCTTGCGCAGATCCCCGCGGCTCTGGAGGATGTGGGGTGGGGCGCTTGGGGGCATGCGGCCGCCAGGCACCGCGCGTGGCGGGCGTGCTGCGCCATGGCAGTCGTCGCCGCCTCCTCGCGCCCGGCCAGCCGCCTCTATGGTGCGCCTGGTGCGCACTGCACTGCGCCCAGTGCCTCAGTACCCAGTCACAGTACCCATTGCCAGCACCAGCCCGAAAAAAATATCCATCAAAACAACCCAGAGGAAAAATCCGTCATCAGATTTCCTTAAGAAGCCCAACCCCCTTCCCCTCCAACCCGCGGCTGAACAACCCGAGAGAAATCTATGGAATATAAAATACCCCAAAATATACGTATAAATTGTCCCTAAAATATATGAGATATCCATACAAAACCCGAAAGTATCCACTATATCCATCATGGGTTCTTCCAACCAGGCCCCAATCCCCCCCAACCAACCCCAACCTATTTCTTGCAGCGAGAAGGGGAGTGCGCGTTGCGGTTCGCTGCGGCAGATGTCTGGGGCGCTGCTGCGCGCCGGGCTCAAGTGCGCGGGCGTCGCCCTTCTGCCGCTAGGCGCCCCACCATCCTGGTCGTCGCTCCGCGCCGGACTCGGGGCGGCTGCGGCCGGCCAGCAGTCGCGGGGTGTGCTGTCCATCGACGTTTACGACGACAAGGTGGGGGATGCTCCTTGACTGACAGGGAGCCAGATCATGTTTTGATCCCCTGCCCCCCTGTGAGAAATCTTTGGACGCTTTTCCGTGTCACGGAAGGCGATGCGGAAAACTTCCAGCGTGGCGAGGACTCCTGCGGGACGGACGGGTGGGACGGCCATCTCTGCGATGGTTTTTCGTCTGTTCGGGTGTGAATCCTTTGATTTCATTTGTCATAGGCTAGAAAATATAGCCCCTGCTCCCTCAAGGCGGCGTCGCGCATGATTCCACGTGCAAGATGCCCAGAATACAGTAGCCATCAAAGGCGAATTCCGACTTGAATCCATTGCAACCCACCGGGATTCAGTTTCTCTCTTGTTGATGTGGCGTCAGAGACGGACACGGCACCAAGGTGCATAAGACCCCTGCCGCAATGCACAGAGCTGCAGGCGCAATGATTTTTGATATTGCGCCATCATGCGGACTTGGTTGAGTGCAGGTGGACCGAGCGCTGGCGATTTTGCGGCGCCGCGCGACGGAAGAAAAGTACGAAGAGAAGTGGCGGCAGATCTACCACGAGAAGGGCAGCTTGAAGAGGAGAAAGATGAGGAAGGAGGCGGAGTTCAAGCGGTACAAGGCGCAGGTGCGGGAGAGGATGCAGTGGATCACCAGACACAGGGCAAGGTGGGTAGATGAAGAAGATTTCCTACATATGGTGTTACGACAAAAGTGTGCATGTCACTGTCCGTGCTTTTCCCGCAATACATGACCCAACAGAATGTATCATGGCCACGTCCAGGGCCGCCCATGTGTCACCCCACTGCCCCTACAATCTCAGGATACAACTCCGTGGAACAGCAACACACAGTACATTTGTTCAGGTCAAGGTGGACATCTTTGTTTGTTTTCAATTGAAAAGTTTTGGATCGTAATTTGGAGTTCAGGTCACAGCGCCCCCTTCAAGGAAGAGTTGTGCGTCTTGTGCCACTTCACAAGCAATGCAAAAGATACAAAGCCCGTAAGGTTGATAAAAAAATGAATACACAAGGGAGGCAATATGTTGGAGTCGAAAAAAACTCAATAGGAGAAGTACAGTGCTTCTGGGCGTGTCATCAACAGATCAGAAAATAGCAGCAAATCGCAGTGGTTTGCTGATTCCAGTTATCCAAATCGAAGAAATTTGTTGCAGCGAATCAAACCACATGGACATACTGTAGTAGTGTGGCTACCCTGTCCGAAGCTGCCAATCTCCAATAAGCAATCATGCAATCTTACCCCATAATTCAGGCCAGCACTAGCTATCAGGAGGGTGATGCAATTAGACGCAAAAACGATTCAGCGTCACAAGATGCAGCCCAGATGCTTTGCTAGTTCTTCAGTTTGGCCGCTCTGACATTGTTGTAGTTGATGATCGTTGCACACCGCTGTGCCTTCTGATCATTGGAAGACAAAAGTCTGTGGTACACCTTCTGAACACAAAGCAAGACAAGGAATTTTGGCTGGTCGTTGATTCTGCAATTATCTTGAAACCAACAACCATATCTACTCATTTTGATCGGACATTGCACAGCACCGCCATTACATCTATTGGGCTGAGCCAGGTGATGTTCAGAGACTCAAGGGTTGATCCCCCTGGGGCCAAGGCATAGCCCAGGGGCGCATGCTATTCTTGAGGATACATTCACTGAGAGCATTGTCATCGATGTGTGTTTTGCTTACTGCTGCCAGGTGTGCAGCTGCTTGATAGAGCCCATGAGCAAGAGCCAGAAGCATCTGACAAGGGTGGCGTTGCCAGATTGTCAGGCATGCAGGGCTGTGCCTGACGATCTGCACGCTGACCTCACCAGATGCTTCAGGCTGTTGGTGTGTCCCAACGCTAGGCTGCCAGGCATTCATTGTTGTCAATTTAAGTGCATGTCAATTCTGTGCATATGCTGCATCCGCCATGGGCCCACATGTGCCTGGGTGGTACCTAGGCAGTATTCTGTGTGCATGCGTGGGCTAGTTCTGGACTACATTGGTGGACTGATGAAGCTATGCTGGCAGCTACCATTCCCCATTGTTTGGAACACAGTGCTTGGTCTCAACAACTCAAACTGTGTGCTTGTGCCTCAGGGGTTTCTGATGCATGGGCCTTTGGTAGCACAATCAATCAGCTGGTCGTGGTGGTTCTGAAACTTCATCGCTGTGACATTCCTGCTGGAGAGTTGGGAGATGCCGGCCCTCCAATGCTGCCAACGACCCGTCAGAATGACAGCTATGTGGTCACTGCAAGGTGGCGCTGTGCACTAGGGGGGATTTGTAGACTCGTTGGACAATGTTTGTCGGAATGCCGATGACAAGCTATCGATCCCAGTCTCAGCATCTCGCCTTGAAGGCACATGCGCCCACTTTCACAACTTCGACAAATGCAAGCACAACTTGTGTCCACACAAACTGTGCAACTAAGTCACGGTACAGTCATTCTCGACGCATTTTGTCACAGTGGTGCATCACATCGCAACGTTTTTTGTGTACCAAAATGGAATGTTTCATGCTCTTCATGGCCAGCTTGTTCAGCGAATGGGCTGCATGACATGCCAGGGCCAACTGTTTGAGTCGAGGATGAGCCACACAGGACACCTCAGAAGTGGTGTCAGTGTCTGATTGCAAGGTTTTTAAGAGCAGATTGTTTTTTTACATAGCCATTGTATCAGAATGGGAGTGGCAATGCATTCTCACACAGCTGAGATGGCGTACAGGCATCTTAGAGGGCAAGGCTTTGCAAACAAGCCCCTTGTGAGTGCACCCATTCATTCCCTAGGCCTGTTGCTGGGGCCCTTATCCTGGCCAATGCATCACGTTTGTGTGGCCCATCGAACCACCATTGCATCCCCTGAGTTCTGCCTGCTGTGCTGATGCCTGCCTCAGCGCTCTTGTTGATGCGAGGGAACGTGCAGTACACACTGCTTCAGCTCCTAGTGCATAGTGATGTCACAATGAAGTTTGGTTGCCACAAAACGACAAGACACCATAAATAACACAGGCTTGGAAATCTACTTCTAGTTTTCTTATGCCAGACTACATTTTGCCTGGAATCTCCATATTGTCAACCGCCAGTCAGTCCTCGGGTAAGACCAGCGACCCCCAAGTGAATTAAATAACTTGTTACCCAGCTGCAACCCTAAATTGCTACCACAAAGCTGTTCAAGGAGTGCACTCTATCCATCAGCGCCCGGACGAGATATCCGCCTATATCAACCACAGCAATGCAGTTGGCGATCGCCACACTGTTAACCTCCCATGGTTTCCAGCAGCTTGCTGTCGCTGCCCCATTGCTCAATTCCGTAGTGCTGCATTCAGCGAAGGGAAAAGAGCACAAACCTGCCACCGAGAATAAACCTTACCACTGACAGACTCTCAAGTTAATCTGCGTGGACAACGACCACAGACCATTACTGTGGAGCCGACGGAGCGAAGCTGTCGGGATCGCTGCCCAGCTTTCCTGGGTTCAAAATGTTGTTTGGATCCAGGGCGGCTTTCAGCGCGTGCATGACATCCAGCGGCACACGGCCATGCTCGGCCTCAAGGTACTTCAACTTGCCCTGACCAATGCCATGCTCCCCTGCAACGGACATCGGTTGGCACACATGCACTCAGCGGCCGCCAACGGCAGCCATCAGTTTCTTTCGCAACAATGATCCACCAAGCACTGGTGCAAGCTTCTCTGAGCGGTTCTGCATTGGCCCAATTCATGAACGAGCAGTCAATCGTTGTGTGTGAAGCACTTTGGTGCGTTGGTCGCCTTAATCAGTCGACTTCACGTTGGGCACGGGATCATGGCTTTGTATGTGTGGTCGCGCCCCGTTTCTGCCTATTCGCATAAGAGGTGTTGCATTGGTGCCGTGGTCATCCGCAAGATACCCATTCTTGACACTCCTGGAACAGCGGCCATGGGATTATCAGAGTGGCCCTTACATGGAGCTGCTCTACGCTTCATTTGGTCCCACAGAACTGGCAAGACCCGTTCCCCAAATACTCACATCCACCTCTCAATCCATCGTCAAGGGCGTCCATTTTTCACTCACCTGTGCACGTGCCTCCTAGACTGTGAGCTCTGTGCACCATGTTGTCAACCATCGCCTGGGCCTTCATAACCTCGTCCGAGCTATTCGGGTCGATCAGGAGCATCATGTGGAAGTTGCCATCTCCAACGTGACCAACAAGGGGTGCCAGGATACCTGCGTCCCTGTCAACAGCAAGACAACGACACTGCGGCCAGCTGCACGGATCCATAGTTCTATTCCATACATTCCGCCTGGAGCAACATGAAATCAAGTCCCACGTCGCACCAATGACCTCCCTGTATATGAGGCAAAACACATACTAGCAGTGCCTATTAAGCACGTCCTGCACTTGAGCTTGAGGGTCAGCGACAGCGAGGAGAATGCCTGTGGCCGGCACGAGCACTGGCTTGCTCATCTTGCAAACTGCCGAGTCCCATCTTCCAGCACACTGATCCAGCAGGGCCTCATTGTTCCAGTTCAAAAGGGTGCATCTGACCATGATGTTCAATCAATGTCCATCACTGGATGTCTGCAGGCTACGCTTCTAAGAGAAGGAAGAAACCGCTTCCCACGCTTCAAGTACCCCTATGTCCAGACCTTTCGCCTCAGTGTCACCACCACAAAGTGGCTGCCGACGACATCTGAAGCGCGAGTTGTGGCAAAGTATGGTCCAATGCTTGCATTTAACATGATTGACTCATTTAGTCTAAACTTTCAAAGGTGGTTAGAATTGGCACAGTCCACGTGTCGCAGACTAGCACCCAATGTCTTACAGTCACTGCGCTCACACTGCTCTTGCATCACAATCTCATTCCCTTCATCGACATGGTGCCAAGTCTTATTACCCATCGCCAGGTCGATTTTCTCGTCCAGAGCGCTACAACATCCAGTTGCTGATTCATGCGTTAACGGGAGCTGCACAAATTCTGGCCTCCACTGACCTTGCCTCCCTCTGGGATCCCAAAATGCAGTCTGCCAACTTGGAGACGGGAACGCACACATCCGTCGTGACGATTTTGGCACCGGGGCGAAGCTGCACACATGCCCAATACGCGCTGTGCCGCGCGCTCCACAGCCTCGCGCGCTCTGCTTCTGTGGCAGCCCATTGGAAACCTGTTCCCGAGTGCTCCTCAACGATCTCGCCCACCAATTTCGCCTTATGTGCAAAAATCACACCGAACTGCTGGTCAGATGGGTGTGGAAACAACAGCAAATCGCCAAATAAGAGTGACTGGCGTTACTAACCAATAGCAGTGCAGCGGCAGTTCTCAAAAAAATAGGCTCAGGGGGTCTCCCAGCAGCTTCGTACCCTTTACACACATCTATAGCAGGGGTGTGCAGCCGACATACGTTGGCCAATATATCGAGCAACCATTGTGCTGGGCAAGACATGCAGGGACGATTTGGACTGCCAGCATCCACAGCGCGCGACTCAGATGGAGGTGTTATAGGAGCGATTCATGGAGTGCATTCAAAACACATCTCGGCTCTCATGGGCGACCTGATATGATATGATGTGATGAGATCTGTACTGCTCCAGACCGGCAAATGGCTATGATTCTCCCGGGCCATGCAAACACCCCCAGAGCACATGTTTGCTGCTGTCATGCATGCCACCTGCCTCAGTTTCACACTTGCTCTCAGTGCCTCCTAATGTGCTGCAACAGTAAAGAACTCAATGCCTGTTGCAGCCAGGACCAGGTGCTCTAAAACACAGCAATATTTGTGGTTCTGCATCGCAACACACACGCCCACACACCTGCTCCTCGACACCCAAGTCTGTCCCGTGGAACTCAAAGAATACGGTCGGAGCTGCAGTCAGTGTGGTCTTCGAGTAGGCGTTTACAGCGTTGATGGCCACCTCGTCCAGCAGCTCCATCCGCGCTATTGGTATGGCGCACTGGATTATTTCTGTCACAGCGTCCACAGCACCCTGAAGGCGAATCCATTTCCCCACTCTCAGTCCAACAACGCTGCCTCGGCTGCTTCTAGCCACCCCTCCATCAGATTGCTCAAACGACCTGACTGGTGTAAGGGCAGTGCTTTGTCACATCCTGGGGCAAATACAAACGTGTATCTGCTCCATCAATTTGCCAACAGATTGTTTGCCTTCTGTTCTGCTGGCCTGGCTGTTGAGCTTTGGGGCCAATAGCTGTATGCGCAGCTCAGATGATCGCTGCACACCCAAACTTGTATTGCACCACTGAAGGCCCTGAGTGCAGTGACAGGCTGAGTGCTTTCCTGTTGCACTTGGCGAATTCCATACCACTTTCACTGCAGGGAACAGATTGTTTGGGCCAGACACAATTTGCAAAGTCAGCGTGGGGCCGGGAGGTGCATGGGGGGACTGTATGACATGCTTCTCTTTGGTAAAGCAACACTTCCATGGGCATAGCATTTAATTCTAACGCTCAACACCCGCGCCAATTTACCCTGCATGTAAACTCCACAGAGTGATAGCTGACAACTGCCTGCTAGCCTCAACAGCCAATGCTTCTTGATGATTGCTCGATCAGATGATTACCTGATTCACCGATGGATAGACTGATTGAACGATGGTTTACTCAGTTGAACTGGCTAACTGACTGATACCATGGGTGCCTGTATCTACCAACACAGCTCCACCTTCATGGCCTTGAACTCGCATACGGCTGTGGTGATAGCCTCTGGCACACCATGCAGGCGCAGGGCCACTTCAGTGACGACCCCCAGTGTCCCCTCGCTGCCCACCATCAGCCGCGTGAGGTCAAACCCCGCGCTGCTCTTCCGCGACCTGCCTCCCGTCCTCATCACCCTCCCATCCGCCAGAACGACCGTCAGGCCCATCACGGCGTCACGCATCGTGCCGTACCTAACAGCGTTGGTCCCTGAGGCCCGTGTGCTGGCCATGCCCCCGATGGTCGCATCTGCTCCAGGATCGACAGGGAAGAAAGCGCCGTGCGAACGCAGTGCCTGATTCAGCTGCCGGTGCGTGACACCAGCCTGCACGCGGCAGTCCATGTCCTCATGGTTCACCTGCAGCGCTATCTCCACGATTTGATTGCTAGTTGTCAAGAGTCGAAAACACACAGTGCCAGCAACCAGCTTCTGCACAGATTGCTCGCTTCATATTGTTTGTTCATCTACTTTCACCAGGAGCAAACATCAGCAAGGAGGTTCAGATGGATCACGCTGGTGCCACTCAGGGAATACATTCAATTAAATTTCAAGCAGAGCAAATGCAGATCACGAAACCACGAGCTCCCAATGGCACCCTCAGAAAATTACACATACATTATGCTATTGACTGAAATGCTGGTGGATGGATGGGATTCTAGAAAATGTAGAAACACGGAGTTCTGCCAGCACAGGAGAGATACAATACACTGACTGGGATTGAAAATTCCCCATTCTGATTAACAGCAGTTGTGGCAGATGCATGGCAAAATGGCTCAAGGGTTGGCAGGCTCACTGGCTGGGGTGCACAATGCCACATGATGGCTAGCTGCCAGTGATGCATGAAGTCACAAATGCATAGTCAAGGGAGGAATTTGAATTATCAACACCTGTGGTTTGAGCAGGTCTGCTGATGTTCAGCACAGACAAAAGGTAAACTGCAAATACTGGGCACAGAGTGATGCGTGCTCACCAGCTTTGCAACAGGTGGCAGACTAGCATTGTTCCTTCACTTCCAAGTAAGTGGGCCAACCAAGCCTCAACTCGAGAATCGTGTTGTTGTGGGGACACACAAAATAGGTCAGCTGACCCAGCACAGCAGCGGTCACCTGTGGGGATTGCTGGTTGCTGTGGGAATGACAGCAAGGAATATGCACTCGTGCGATGAATGTGCTTGAGAGTGGCTGGTACCAAAGCAGTCTGGATGGGAAGAACAGGCCAGACCACAGCCATCACACAGGCACCACAGCAAAAGGTGTTTTGCGGTTCCATCAAGTCCCTTGTGCCTTCCAGGCCACTCCCCTGACATGGGCATGGGCATTGCTACAAGGTGCAAGGACAGCACATTCACAACATTCCCAAATGCAAATAACAATGATCCAGAATTGCACAGCGAATGGTTAACTGGACAGTGTCCCAATTATGCAAGAGCCCCACCACATTTAGCCAAGTGTTCAACACTGTGGTAGCTTTTCACCATACTACTTTGTCTGATACCCTGATGAGACAATTCTGGGACCCAACTTTTTGTAGATTCTTGCAAATACAAGGACCATAATTTCTGCCAATTCGGTTCGGTGTTTTGCCTTTGGAAATGTTCATACCTCCAATATGTGATTCATCTGCACCATGTCCAAAGACACCCCACCCCTCAAGGCCGCAACATGGCCTTCCAGGGATGTGCCGATGCCATAAGGGACCACCGCCGTACCGGCTTCGTTGCAGGCTGCCACAATCTGAGATATCTCCTCTGTCGAGTGTGGGTACACAACAAGGTCGGGTGCCACTGCAGGCCGCCCAGACTCATCCCTGCCGTGCTGTTCCAGTACAGATAGTTGAGTTGATGTCCGGCCTGGAGCCACCTTCTCAATGAAGGATAGTAGAGGCCCGGGAAGAGAAGATCTGAGGGTGCTGGTTGAGAAGGACAGCACATCTAACTGGGTAGGAACAAACAAAGCAGGCTCTCAGCACAGGCGTCTTGCTGGCAACTATTTGATGCACTTCAAGTTCAGCCTCCAAGTTCAAATTTGTCAGTACATGACAAGGCACTGTTCTTACACTGCCCTGCCCTGCCCTGCCCTATCATTGCCTATACCCTCACATTGGCAGTTCCATGGACAGCAAATGCCAAAAAGAAGTGGCGAAAGCCCTGAACCTTGCAGACGATTGCAAACATACACATATCCGATCAAAGTATGGCCAATGTTAACAGATTGTGTTTCCACACACTGGATCCCATGCATTTGAAGAATTCAATCGTTGCAAAAACAGAGTGTGTAGAATCACAAGCAGTTTGCTTGGATGGTCGATGCTTACAATGCTGTTCTTGTATTTCTGCTTTTTGTATAAATCTATGGTACAAAGGTCACTGAGCTGGTTGCACTCAGCTAGCAATTATGTCTGTGGAACTGGGTCGAAATTCAGCAGCTCTTCTCTGCACACTGCAGTTTGGGGACAAGAGCTGCTGCAGGTTGGGAAAAGTTGCTGCACAGCAGCGAGGCACTGCAAGCCCTGCTGACAGCCAGACTGCACTGGCTTCAATGCGATGACTGTACGAATTGCATATGACTGGAATGAGTGAAGGAAGGAAGGAATGTGTCCATGGCAGCAACATGAACAGTGTGTGTTGCACTCATGGCACAACTGGGCCCAATGGGCCAGCAACAAGAACCACACATTGCTTGGACAGGGGCCAACACAGTGGGGAATGGATGCTACTGTAAACCCGTCGAAAGGATGGCCCAGCAAGGCAGCACTAATTGCTTGCCCTTTGTGTTGCATTGGCTTTTGTAAGACACAGCAAGCACCTTCATGTTGCCAGGTGATGACGGACATTCACACATCCAGAACACTTGCTTGATCCTCACGCTTCCTTTTCTCCGCCAAGCACGTGTTCACGATACGCAAGGGGCTGGTGGAAGGGTGGGGAATCAAGACTGTGCTCGCCCATCCCCCTTTCGATTGGGACTGTGCCAACAGGCATTGGCACATTCTTTCAGCCGTGGGACGGCCGCGACAATCGGCGTAATGCGATGATGTGCCAGTGGTGTACCTCTTTGACTGCAATTGTTGGCAAATATCAACAGGCACCCTTGCGCAGGCCAGGTAACGTGGAGTGCAGTTCCGCCTGCAGGTTGTCCGACATACGATCGCCATGAACGCAAAAGCCAAAGGCGACGGTGGCAGCAGCGTCTTTACCTGAATCTGTGGTGAAACGCCCGCGGCGAAGATCCCTTGGGCTGGACCCTCCGCTGGGATGCACCTCAACGGCCCCAAACAGCTCCAGGCCGCCTTCAACATCCCTCTCCGCCTGAAATGGCAAAGTGGTCTTTTGCTCGTCACAGGACAATCAAGGATGTGCGTGCGTTCTTCTGTCAATGGCTTGCGTTCTGGTGTGGGGTTGCTGCCCAGCACCGGGCACGTCAGGGACTTGGGACCTGGGGAGTTTAGGCGAGCTGTCTGCCACTTATGCTGAGCAGCGTGCGTCTCCTCTGACTCAGCATGCCCAGATGTTCCACCCATGCAATAAGCACAATTAGATCAGTAGAAAATGAGGCTACATCGGACTCAGCCTGTGAGTCAGCATGTGGTGGATGGGTTGCAGAGACCAAAAAAACAAACTCTATTGGTGTCCCTCGCTTGCGGTGTGATGCTCTGTATGCTTGGCTTGGTAGCCCCAACATGTGCACTACGACTTGCTCCGTGGTTTGGCGTCGCCATCAAGGCGACAGCAGGTTGTTGAAGGAAATGGCCGTTGATGCAATTCAAACGGCCCCCTTTGGAGTGCACACGGGAAGCGCGAGTCCACGATCGCCGATGCTTCAACGGCGTTGGCATACGGCCAGACGCAAAGCCACACCACACACACAACGCCCAGGGCTTACATATTTGTTCACCCTTCCCACAGCGAAGAGCCTTGCCGACGGTGGCAACGACCCACGCAACCGAACAGTTCGAATTCCCTTGCACCCACAGAACTTTCCTTTTCACGTGACAAGGACCATCATCCATCACCAACCAGCCATACGACATTTCAAAGATACCCACTCATCGCCACAATGCAACCCACTCTACAACACATATACAAAAGGTGCCCATACACTCAATGGCAATGTAGAAATATTTCAGCTGCGAGCGCGACCTCAACATAACACTTGTCTCTAAATCGGATGGCATCTCCCACAGCAACCAAGTTGATGCTCACAAAAGTCCCATCACATGAGAAACAATTCTGTGAATTCTGAAACACATTTTTCTTTTCCTTTTCTACATTAAGAATGCCTTGCATATAAACAATATTCTTAAAATGCATACAAGTCGCACACCATAATGCATAAGTGATCCACCCAGTGAAACGGTGGTCATTATGCGGTGTTGCGAACAAGGTTGCATTGCGAAATGAGGCAGTTGGGCCTCGAGGATGCAAATTTTGAGTATCGTTTCCGTTGCTCATACCCATGGAAAATTGAGTTTTGGCTTAGGGAATGCACTATGTCCAAAGCGGTATGCTTAGCGTCAATTTGACGCTAAGGAAAAGGGGAGGGGGCGGCGGCCTGGACTTGCGACGCTGAGAGATTATGTAATTGGCACGATTTCGACATAAGGTCTGAAGATATACAGAACGCCGTTGATCCAAGGCAGACGACTCGTGATTTGTTCCAAAACCCACTGCAAAGGGCGGCGGTCCATTCTGGCCGTTAACCACGGAGATAGCGTAGTAAATCACCCTCAAACGGGCAGCTGAACTAGGTCGACAGCCTCAGCACCACGCCAATTGAGGGTTCACTGAGCGACCAAACTTTTGCCGCTCTCACAAGCTGGCTCTTCACGAAGAACTGCTTGTCGCGACGACGACGACCAACAAAAATAGCGGCGACGGCAAGGAGAAGCTTCAAACGGGTAGCAACTTCCCACTGCCAGCCAACCATGCAAACACGCTTGCAAAACCTCTCCCAGCTGCCGCTCAGAGGGCCCCAACAGCACGTTGGTGTATGACACGGAAAACGCTTCTCTGTGCCTCGACAAGGCTGTGCAGCGACGAGACTTGGCAAGTCCTGGCCGGCAACTAGACCACACTGGAGGTGCTGGTATTCAGCGGCAAGGAAACGCCTTGAAAACACGGCCCACACTGGCCGCGACCTTCGAAAACTTCGAGCACTATTGCGCTCAGGCCGTGGCGAACGTTGCGCGCACAGCCAGGGTTGTCAGGCAGCCAGGCCGAACGCCTAGACCGCCGCGCGAGACACACGCGGACCCCACGCAGTCGTTCTTACAGCTGCCATGCCCAGCACAACAATGGAGACCCCCCCGCGGAGCTGTCCGCGCCCCTGGTATTTGTAACCTCCCCCGAGTTTGAAATACCCCCCCATATGAAACAGCATCTTCTGATTCCGCGGAATCTTTCCGCCACACTGCCGTGTCACCACAATTCACACCGGTGCGCCCCAGTTCCTGGCCACGTAATGCCCCACGGGCCATATCCCCATCAAACAGCTACGTGGGGAACGCGCCCCCCGCGCCCCTCCTGAACCCATCTCACGGCGCCCCATGGCAGGTCGCATAGGCGGTAAACCCCCTCCATCCACAACGGCACCATCGCACATAAAATACTATATCTTGTACACCAAGGATCTGTTTGACGTGAAATATTTGGCAAATGATTTCTTTAAAACACATCTACATACCTTGGGATAGCGACAGCATGTTGCAAGTATGACTTGCAACTGATAAATCTCTTCAAATCTATAAATTCGACCAACTTTCTCAAGTCCATTTTTCTGACTGATAGCACCCAGCCTTCCGTGACGAACCTTCTTGCTCTAAGCCAGGTGCACATTTCTGGGCAGCTTGCATGCCGCAGGACCCCAGAATTCTCCAGCACCATGCCAGAATGACAAATCCAGCTGCAGTACATTTGCGTGCCCCTCGCGTCACCCCTACAAACTCCCGTTCCGCGCATCAAGGCGCCCGCGCTCGCTTGAACTCACGATGCCCCGCCACACAGTCGCCCACGCAGGTTGAAAGGCCTGCCCGCTCGCCAGAAAACAGCCCAGCAACTTCGACCTCGATCCGTCTCAATAGGGACTCGACCGCGTGTCTGCCTTCCCCCATCGGCAGCACCATGGCCAGCCTCTGCCGTCCCAGCTCGATCAACGGGCATTGCTCGGGAAAACCGACACAGCCCGACTCGCCAAGCCTTTTAGCGTCCAATGCGCCCAGTCGCGCACGGCTGTACCACTTGCCAAAGCAAACGCACGTGCCCAACAGCGGCCTGGGTGCTTCTCAGTACTTCGCGGTGTTTTCCAAATGTGTCTGACACCGGTGTGCCCGCGACCCGCGCTGCCACGTATTGGAGCTGTTCCGGCATCACAACTGCATTGCTTTGGATTCTTTAGGCATATAGTGAGGCTGCCATGGTCTCTCTTTGTCACTGAAGTCACTTCTTGCATTCTGAGTGCCTTGGGCTTGGATGACTAGAAAATTCTGGAGCAACCCTGATTGATGTTTTGGGGTTTCTGCCTCATTGAGCGCCAATCTGCTGGATGATAATCAGTGTGACGAAGGTGCTGAGGTTGTCGACATCCCCTCTGCATCATCTCTGGATCTCACGTGTCGCCAGCTGAGATATATCATTAACTCACTAATTTTTTGATGAGCCCCATTTACTGGCGACCCGAACACCACCTCAAGCGTTCATACTTACATGAAGAGACGGAATACCCCAAATAGACAGCCATCGGGGCTGCCCCAATAACCTGAAATGGCATTTATCATCACGTTTTTCGGCGCATTACAATCGCTTTTGACAGGCTATGCTCCCTAAAAACACCATGAAATTGTCTAGCTCTGTTACGTAAGGTTGCTGAGTCCTCTTGGCATCGACAATAGGATCGACGCCAAGGGAGGGGGTAAGATTTGTTACAAAAGAGAAAGAGAAATAGGTCATTGAAAGGGCATCCCCTCCCAGGCAAGTTATGTGAGGCTCTGTTTGATGCTATGACAAGATGATATAGAGCTTCCGAAGCACAGATGAGCACACAACACGAGCAAGTCATAGGCAAGAAGAACATTTACTCGGGGAGGTTCGTGTGGAAGGTAAGGGAGGGGGAGTCTGGGTTTAGCGTCAAATTGACGCTGAGGGTACCCGAATCGTCATAGCGTCTTCCCTTGTCTGTCTGGTGGTTTTGTGGGTGGGCAATACGGGTGACAATGCAGCGAGTGGCGTTTGAAGCCAGCAATGTCATTGCATTGGCGTTAGCCGTCATATCAAGGATGGGGTAAGGTGTGAGGGGGGTCTATCTGGAGCGCTAGGAATCGCTAGTATTGTCCGATACCTATCATTTCCGGATATGAAGGTCATGAATGTCGTAAAGGGTACTAGGGATCCGAAACCACAAAAATGACATCCGTGTCTTGACTCATACAACTTCATGGCGTCCACGACCTTCACGACCTTCAGAAATGATGGGTAACATGTGAGTTGCCATTATCTGCTTCAAACCTGGAGGCCCATCCGCCATATGGAACAGGCAGATGGCCACAAGGCAGCCTTCAGCAGAGTCTTTCATGTTCACGAAGCCACGGCAACACAAACACCACGGTTTCGTCACGTGATCTGGACATGGCCAGTACTGTAGAGACGTTGTCCTGCCTGGGGCAATTGTTCTTACGATTCTGCCAGAGCGGGATTGGCTTGTCGCACACCAAGATCATTCGCCCGGGACATCGTATGGCTTGAGGCTTGCTTACTCCCCCATCGCCCATGTTAGGCACTGCACGTTGGGAGCATGGCGGCGCGTTCGCGTCAGGTGGTTGGACTGACTACATGTTGATTGGATTTGTTATTTGTTCTGCCTGGTCAAATTAATTGAGGCGTGACATTTCACGTTTAACTCTTATAGTGTTGCACAATGGTAGCGGTTCATGTTTCTGTTTGTAAGAGAACCTGCGACGCCCGTCTTTCAGCCCTTGCGATTGGTCGCGGATTTTGGCGCGGCGAGGTGTATCATGATCTCGCTGTGCCAACATCGAGAATTTCACAAGCAGCACGGCAGCTTTTGTACCGTGATCGCGCTGTTTCACCTTGTCCGTTAGCCATCACATTGTGCCGAGTCACTCTCGTTGGCACGAAGTAGTTGGTTTGCTCGCGCTGAGTAGCATGCAATGCAGTGCTGCAGTAAGTGCGGGTGCACACGGCTGTACAAGCGCACTGAGCCTCCCCACAATGAATTAAGATGAGCCTACGCCCAAACATTAAACATATATCCAATGTCGTCCCGAGCTACAGATCGTCGCAAATCCCCCACCAATGACGCCAATTATGGAAAATCCTCGGCCGGCCACCACCGGCCGCCGCGTCTCCCCACAACGATGCAAAAATCACGACCCCACCTTGACATAAAGGGCCTACAGTTCCTCACTTCTCACTCGTTCCCGCCCACCCCACTCAACGGCACTAGACCAGCTGTTTACTTGTCGGAGGCAGCGTAGTCGGCGGTGGCATCTCCGGCAGCGACGGCGTAGTCCCCGTCGGACGAGGTCTTCACGGCGGCGGCGGTCTTCGGGGCGCTGGCGATCGCACCGGACCACGAGTCCGCGGAGCTGTCGCTGTTGGAAGCGCTGGCGTCGGCGCTGCCCTTGGCCACACCGTCGCCGGTGGCGTCGGCATCCACGTTGGTGTAGGAGGCGACGCCGTCAGGGGTGGACACGGCCACGGCCTTGGCGGTCACGCTGGCGCTGGAGTCGCCCTTGTCGTCGACCTTGTCGTCGTGGGGGTAGTGCGGGTAGTACGGCAGGTACGCGTGCTCATCCTCATCCTCGGGGTCGACGTACACGGGGTCGTGGGGCTTGTAGCCGACGTACACGGGGTGCACCGCAACCTTGACGACGCAGCTGTCGTGGTCGAAGGACTCGCACTTGTAGCCCGGGTGGCAGTAGCCGGGGCCGCACTTGGAGAAGAGGGTCTTGTAGATGGGGATGTCTGCGGCCAGCAAGGAAACACTTATTAGGCACTGGCCAGTGCCCCCCTTGGGGGGCTTATGCACTGTGCGGGCTTAGCATGATGCTCACACAACGTGCCCGCAAGGGAATCACGCGCAACACAGGCGGGCTCGCGCACACAAAGGGGAGCAGGTACTCAGTGTGCCCCAGAGAGAAACGAGTGCACGTTGGCGAGCAGGGATGCAGAAAACCATTGGAAGTAGATTCGATGCTAACATCGAACGTTCGGCAGGGGGGTCGCGGGGTGACTTACCGTAGGCGACGCACACTGGCACTGCCTTCTTCCCGCACTTCTTGACGGGCTTCTTCTCGAACGTGCACGGGTCCGCGGAGCACTTGTAGCCGACGGGGCACATCTCGTCACCGCAGGCCTCGGGGGCGTACTCCGCGCACTTCTGCACCTTCTTGCCGTCCACGAGTTCCCAGACACACTTCTTGGGGGCCTCCACGGTGACGCAGGTGTACTTGGGCTTGCACCACTTGGCGCCGCACCAGTAGTAGTCCGCGGCGCACTTCTCGTTGAACTTGCAGAACACACTGCCGCAGGCGGTGAGGTCGGGTACGCACTTCTTGACGGGAGAGGCGGGGTCGCACTTCTTCACCCAGACCTCGACTGCACAAGCGGAACAGTTGATCGGTTAGGAAAGACTGAAGGACTCCGGACGCGCAGGGGCCCTGAGCGCGACTGCGCGGAGCTTAACAGGCCGGTGCTTCATCCGGAGCAGAGAGCCCGCGACTGCGTTGGGCTTTTCTTGCATTCGTGCGACCTGCTCCACACCCGCGGTGTTCCGCGATCAGCGAGTTGCCCACTCACCTTCTTCGCAGGCCTCCACGGTCTTCTCGCCGCAGAAGTAGCCGTAGGGGCACTCGCCGCAGGAGTCGTCGTACGTGCACCTGTAGTATTTGCCCTCGTAGCAGCCGTAGTCATAGACATGCTGGGCGTAGTAGGCGAGGATGGCGGGGTCCACATACTTCACGGGGGTGTACTCGACCTCCTCTTCCTCCTCCGGCTCCACGACCACGTAGTGGCCATAGTACGGGTACTTCACGGTGGGGTCGACGGCCTTGTAGCCATGGTAGCCGTGATAGTAGTAGTAGTATGGGTCATCGTCCTTGGGGTCGGCCTCCTCCTTGGGGTAGTAGTGGTAGTATGGGTAGGGATAGTAGTGCTTCTTGGGCTCGGGCTTCGTGGCCTCAGCGTAGGCAACCGACTTGGCGGTGGCATCGCCGTAAGCGTAGGCCGCGGAGGTGGCATCGGCGGCGCCGATGGCCACAGCCTTGGAATCAGCGTCGGCCTCGACCTCACCGGCCGCTTCGGCGTCGGCGTAGGAGTGGGCGTAGGCGTCCTCGCCCTTGGCCACGGCCTTGGAGTCGGCGTCGGCCTTGGCCCAGTCCTCGGCGCTTGCGTCAGCGTAGGAGACGGCCTCGGCGTCGGGGCCGGCGGCGTAGGCGATCGAGTTGGCGTCGGCGTCTCCACCGTTCTTTGCATCCGCATAGGAGCCAGAGGTGGCGGAGGCGCCGTCCTTGGCGACGGCCACCGAGCTGGCGGTGGCCTCGGTCTTCTTATTGAGGACGCGCATGGTGGGGCGCGCCTCGGCCATGGCCTGCGGGGGGCAGCGGCGCCGGTTGAGTCAAAAGGGTTGCCGCGGGATACTAGCACGTGCATAGAGGAGAGCATGTGCCTGCGTTATGACTTGGAAAATCGCGCGACGCGGGCGAGGGCCGAGCGAGGGCCGAGCACACGCACTTGCTCGGCTCGTAGTGTTCAACTGGCTAAAGTGTGAGCGGGGCGAAGGTAAGGAACTGGGCCATTCCGGGGACGGCGGCAGGTGAGAAACTGGACCACTCTGGTTAGAACGCAGAAAGGCGGGCCAACTGCGTCGGCCTTGCGGCACGCTGAGTCCGTTAAACAAGCATGGAGAAGAGAATGGAGAAGTGCAAGGACACGAGCCCAGCTTGTTTTGATATGCTTCTCCGGCTCAGGCGGTTCTGCACGAAATTTTGGGCAGCACGAGCTCATCGGGGAACCCCGGGCCGACGGCTGCCCAGCGTGCTACCAGAGGAGGCGAGAAACGGGGCGTGGGCTCACCAGGACGGCCAGAAGGAAGAGCGCGGCTGCGATAGCCTTCATCTTGGGTTTGGTTGTGGCTCTCAGTGGCAGGACACCTGGATGGACACAGGGCATGATGAGAGTCGAGTGAGGGCAACTCAGCGGCGCCCACGTCTTCGCTTTCGCGCACAACATCGCGTGCTCGCAGCCCGTTCTGGCAGTTGGCCCTTGGGACGGGACGCCATGGATGAGAACCACGTTGCTACAATAACGAACCTTGGACGTGAAACCAAAACTACGCGGGGTGCATACCAGCACGCCGCCGCGGACAAAGCCCACGCTTTTCGCACCACGCTCCAAACATGGGTGCCGAAGCGGCCTTCCTCGCTACGCCTGCCCAGGATCGCCGGCGGCGGCACCGGGGAAGCCCCCCACTTCTCTGAACCAGTTGAGCAACCAGTTGCATGCATTATGCAAGGACCCCGCAAGGAAAGCACCCCTGGCATGCATCTTGCACCCGCGGCCAGCTCTCACCGCCACGCACAGGCCCGCACGCCCCTCTGGCATCCTTTTCTCCCGTCAAGCCGCATCACACCAAGCCAGAGCGAGCAAACGAGGTCCCACACTGTCGCGGGGCCAGCCACGCTCCCCGCGGTCAGCCTCAGCGCGGCGGCGGCATGCAATCGCAACCTCACCAACCTTCGATGAGCGGGCTTCCCGTAACTAGTGGACGCTTCCACCCTCCTGATCACAGCACCGCCCTCCGAGATACCTAGAACCACCGTTCTCCTGCGGCGGGGCTTTCTGCCCTCCCCGCTTTTGTACGCGGGGTCCACGGGGCGGCGGGGCGCCGGCGGAAGGGTCCGAGCCGATTGATGCGACCCGTCCCAGCCTCATGACGCAACACATCAACGTGGATGTACAACTCGACGATGTGTGGTCCTGTGGATGAGAGCGCCGCTTTGGGGCCAACACAGGCCGATCCCTCGCTTTAGTCCCAGCTCAACCAAATCGGGCTCGGCAGCCGCCAGGCAGGTGGCTCCGTATCTGTTCAATCCCTGCGGGACTGGGGATGAGGCGTTTGATGTACGATTACACAGGATTGGTAGATCAGCTCGCGCCGCGGGGCGATTTCTGATGCCGCTTTTGATGGCTCGGTGCTTTCGTTGCCCTGCATGATTGATTGAGGCCGTCGGGCGCGGGGCTCTGCTGGAGCGCCCCCCTCGTCGTGCGCGGCTTTTGTACGGGCACACAGCAGCACCCCGCGCAGATTGCATTATCGGAGCGTCTGGGGTTGCTTTGTTTGCCACGTGTTGACTCATGGCGTCCATGAGACAATCGTCTTCGCAAGAGACAGAGTCACGATGCATCGATTCTCTTGAGCTCCCTGGCATCTTATGATGTCCTGTATTGGCACATGCACATATTTCATGGGCTACAACGACTTTGATGTATTGGAATCCACTAAATCACAAGTTCCCGTGTATGGCAACTCGGTGGTGTTGGTTCACTAGACCGCACCCCACACATTGTGCTCAGGTGTGCGCCCCCGTAATCCTTCGATTTGAAAGAGGCAAATCAATTCTCGTAAGGCTCACAGCGCGGGAAACACGTGTTCTCAATCAACTCCCGTCGAAGTTCTGAGCCACGTTTGTCAGTCGTTAACGGCTCTGGTATTTTGCCACAGTACTGTAGGGCGGCCATGACACATTTGGGTGAAGGGCAATTTCCCTCCGAAGTTGCCAGGGCAAGATCTTCATCTTCCATATTTGGTCGACAGTGCTTTTGCCCCAGACGGACAGGGAATGCCCTCGCCGTTTCCAGGTAGATAATGACTCGGTTCCACAAGCTGTAGCGATTTGGCGAACTTCTGTCATACCTTTGAGTCCAACCCTAATGCACGTGGAAGGCTCTCAGTATAGTGTTGTAGTGAACACAAAATGTACCATTTAACACTGATAGATTGCCTACCAATTTGTCGCGCAAAGCATAATCCAAGAGGGGGTCTTTCAGCTTGCCAGAGCGCAAGAGAGGCATTGTGCACTGCAACTGTGTGCCACACGAAACTACCAGCACATCCGAATTTGGAGTGTGTATCAGCCTCGGTCGTTCACTCTGCGGGTTGCAACACGGCATGGTCAACTCTGCGTCAGCTGACCTCACAGGCTCGGCGCACATTTCGTATGGCCCACGGGGGAAGCAAGGCTCAGCACGAAAGGATTGGAAAATGCAGGAGCAGATACTTGCTGCGGTTCCGCACCAGGTGCTGCCAGGTTGCAGCTCAAAATGAGTTCTGTTTGGAGCACTGACCCGCGCTGAACTTAGACACACATTTAAGGCGGCCACAAGATATTTTGGCTGCAGATTTACTGCACGGCTCACTCTCTGCGTCACGCACTGAACGCAAACACCCAGATTGCCGCAATATGAGGCACAACTCACACATTACTGTCGCAAGCAATCGACAACTGTGCAGGGCACCAGTCGAACTTTGCGCTCATGTGGTTGCTGAGGCGCCATGATTAACAAGCATCACGCGTTCTCAGTTCCCAGTCGTGATGTGCTTCACGCTCTTGTACGATGTGATACCATGCCTGGAATGGAGTTTCAATGGCTGTCAGGATATTCCGCCAGCCGATTTTTGATGGGACAGGGCACGAAACAGGGCGATTTAACTGCTCAAATCATCGGCATGCAAAAGTTATTTTCTGTTTGAATCTGCAGTCGCCACAACGCCGGAGAGTAAGCGAACGTCTCTCCCCAACGAAGACGTTCAGTAAGCGTCACTGGAAGAATGAGCTGCGACCAGACGTGAATCTGGGAGTCCCGCAACTGATGGCCCTTTTAAAGCCAAAAATTGTGTGGCAACATGTGAAGGTGAGACTACAACTTTCCGCGTCAGCAAACAATGTCGTCTACGAGTCTCAAACTGCGTTCAACAACTTACTACCCATATCTCGATGAAAGGCTCCAGCATCGTAAAACAAAGCATTTCGAATGTAACAAGTCACAATTGGCAGTGCAACAGAAGCACTTCACGGCATCACATGACAAGAGATGTCTCGTGAATTTGCTGGATAAATTCGGTCCTCTCTGTTTCGATACTTATGTCAAGGTACCCTGCCAATGTGCTGCCGCATATCAGTGCACTTGAAATTCACAAACTCTGACTCCTTTCATGCGGAACAGTCCTTGCATGGCTGGGTAAGGGTTGACGCTTGATCTGAGAAGGTCATGTAAATCGTTCGGTTCCTATAACTGCTCAAGTCGTTCATTATTGCGCACAAACACTGATGCAGGCCAATTCCAGCACGGCTGTTCAACAAAACATCTGCTTCGAGAATCAGCACCATCGCAATCCACTGATTTCATCTCCTGGATTTTTTAAAGGCTGAGAATTCATCCGCATCAACTTTTTAATAGCTGATTGCCTTAGATTGCCTGCCTTCTGCCGCTGCAACAATGTAGCTTCCTGCTCCATGTCAAAGTTCACCTCAGTGGTTGCTGTATCGAAGCACATCTGCGCATATTTCAATGGGAAATGTCCTCATTTTCAGGTCTTCGACATAAGCATTCAGAAGGATTCGGAGGCCCAATATTGTCGCCAGATGTGTTTTGAAGGCATTCAACATGAGGGATGTCTGGTGAGATAAATCGACTCCAATCGGCAACGGCCTAAATACCGGGACGAGCTGCCGTTATCTCCGCTGACTGACTGCACCAATTTCGTGAATTTGTAGGCAGGAATATCTTCTCCACAGCGAACAAACAAACACACCACCCTAATTTCCACGATGTTGCAGCTCCCCGAATGTCGGGCTCTGTGGCGCGGCGTGGATGTCAATGTGAATTCCGCTACTGGATACATGTGGCGGGACCTCCATAGCATCCAACGAATTTGCCGCAACTGATGCTTGTGCACGCAAGCCGCTTTCGCCACAAAGATCTCGTGGCATGCGCCGGACAACGAATCGCTCCAACCGGAACCCGTTCATGAACACGGCCAGCCGCTTACGTTGTTGTCGAGCGCTTGCGTTTCCAGCCCTTATCAGCGCCTCTCAATCATCTCTTGGTTAATTTCCTTGCCAAGTCCCACTGCGCTCGTCTCCTTCCTTCACGATGTGAGAGCCACGCCGTGACCTCCACAGCTGTCTGTTCCTTGGACTGCACGAGGGTGGCTGCTTTTGTAACCTGTTCTTACCATCCTAGCGGTGCGCAGTGTCACGGAGTGTACGAAGGGAGTTACTGGGAGCTCCTTGCGGAGCTGGAAGAAATGAGCAACTTCCTAAAGTCCATGATGAGCGGCCGCACTCTGGTGGAGACACCAACTCTCAGCCTTCCGGAAGGCCCCGTGCTTCCGGACGCGGACAATTTCCGACCGAATTTGCAGCCTCTTCCAGGAGAGCCTCAGGTGGACAGCCGCCTTCTGAAATGATATCCAACGCAACATTGTCAAATCAATGCGGTCGATTGCACTTAAAGCTTTCAAATATTGCACAAGGTCAGATGCTCATGCGACGCGAGGATGCCCGGGCTCGCAGAGAAACATCG